GCCTGACAAGGACAAGTAGATTGTTGAGATTTGGGAATCGGTGCTGCCTGCACACACTTATATTTCTCGACACTTGTACTGTTGCTCATTTCAGCCCCAAATGAAGCATGGTGTAAAGCTTCGTTTTGCCCTGGAATCCCCAGTACATGCTTATGACACCTTTTTAATTGACTAATGACTTTGACTTACCTCTGAGTTTAGAGGTCTCTTTTTCTGGGAATGGTGAGAAGTGGACATTTGCTTCTTAATTGCACTCCGTCTTGCCTCTGCCTCCAATTTACTCTCTGGCCTGGGGTGGTCATGGACTCCTTTAGCCTAAATTAGGATTAACAAAAAATTAGATGTGAACTTGAAGGGTGTAAGAGAAGAGAAAATCCAGTAAGTACAACGAGAGGTAGCCACAACATAGTCTGTGGTTTGGCACAGGAAAACAGGAAGGATAAACTAAACAACAAGGAGGGATTAAATGTAAAAATAATAAAATCCCAAATTGCAGGTAGATAGAAGGATAATGTGAAGGAGAAGCCAGTGAGTACTGCAAAGCTAATGAAGGAGAAAAGGTGTTATTTATATTTGTGAAATCCAGAAGTAGCCAATCAGAACCAAGGGAAGAAAAAAATTATAAATTTAGTTTGGTTGGTTTTCTGCAGTCCAGAATTTCAGTTATGCTTTATAAACAGCCACTGCTAAAACTGTATAAATAGGCTTTAAAGTGGTTTAATGCCACCAGACGACAAATATTCTGTACTCTAAAAACAATAAGCACCTTCTTGAATAGGACTGAAGAATATATCCCTGGAAAGCCATCCAAAGATGCTTTGCTATTGAAATATCTGTAGATGTGCAGATATATGCTTCCAAAACTACACTGATATATGATGAAACAATATATTCTCCATATCCTCACCCATTACATTCCCCTCAGTGGACATACACGTAGTCCCTAATACAAAGTAGGAAACTTAAGACTGCTTATAAAATGCTGTTCTTTCTCAAATGTAAATTAACTTCTAAGCAAGGATTTATCAACTATTTTGATGGTAAAAAATTTCAGTTCTTACATGTTTGTAACACAATATAATAAAGGTGAAAATTTAGGAATGTGACCAATTTGTTTCCATTCACTGACTGGAGAACAGAATTCACTGCAGTGTGTCAGGGGAAAAAAGTAAAATCATCCAGCAGATAATGTAATCTCATAGAACAGAAGCTTTTTGTGAAGTTTTTGTCCTAATCTTGATAAAAAAAAAAAAAGTAAGATGAAATTTCAAGTTTCAGCTTTCTAAATTTCCCTTTTTTCTGGCAAGTTTTAAAATCCTCTTAAAATTCAAAGATTATTTTCACAGGAAGCAGAATTTTCACATTTCAACTTGTGCAATTTAAGACTTTTCTTCCCTCATTTATTTATTTAACAGGAAATAAATATTAAGTCCTTGTTGAGATTCCATTGTCAGACATGCCAGGGTGCAGGACAACATTTTTGTTCAGATTTGCGTACTGTAAACAGGAGAATTTTAGACATCAATCATAATGTTATAGTTAAAATTGAATACAGTTAACTCATAAGTACTGCTTTTAAAAAGACGGCCAAATGTTATTGATTTTTTTTGTTTTCACCATGTTTGTACTGCAGAGGAATTCAGTCATGGGCCAGAACTCCACTGTGCTCCGTGTTATACACAGAAAAGGGAAAAAAAAAAAAAAAAAAAAAAAAAAAAAAAGGTGGGGGAGGGAGAAATAACTCTATATAGATTATATAATTTATATAAGCGTGTGCACATATGTATGCCTGCCTTTTACCTGGAAAAATATCGCTTTGCCATCGAGCCTCCAGAAGTTAGTGACTGGATAGCCACTGTGTCCTCGGCAAGGAATCAGCTCAAGGGCTGAGTTACAGTTTGGGCAGGCTTTCTCTGCAAACAGAGATAAAGAAACTACTGAAGACACTGGTTAAAGATGAGGATGTTGTCTGAGGGTAAACAGAGCTCAAGGGCAATATGATCAGCCTTCACTGAAATTCAGGTTAAAATAATTATGTTTGAGGAAACGTGACATGGACCACCAAGCATAACTGAACGGTATGAACTAGAGCTGCATACTTTATCAATGGTAATGAGTTAAAGGATTTTAGATCCATTTTCCCTTAAGCATTTACAGCCAGACATGGATGAAATTTGGAAAGAAATGCGTTCACCGCAGTCTTTGCAATCACGCCTTGGCCTGCAAGCAAGTAAGGGCGATCCGAGTTTAGGAGCGGAGCCCAGCTGAAAGAAGCGGGGTCGCTCGGGGGTCCCAGCCCTCCCCGGGTGCCTCTCACTTTGCTGCTTCTGCCGAGCCTTGTCGCATATGGCGGGGCGAAGCTGCAGCCGGGCTCCGCCGGGCAGCGCGCAGCCCCCGGCGCACACCACCACCCCCAGGCAGGACTTCTTGAGGATCTGGCAGTTGTGGTTGTTGGTGTTGCGCATGGCCCAGCCGCTGAGGTGCCTCTGCGCGTTCTTCTCCTCGCTGGAGTAGATGAGCCGCACGTAGCCGTCGGGCCATTCCTGGAAGGCGTCGAAGTGCTTGGGCTCCTGCATCAGGGCAGGCATGGGGTGGGGAGGGCAGCAAGGAGGAGAGCAAGAGAGTATCAGCAGGGTATTGCAACCCGATGTTACAAAACGGGGGGGGGGGAAAGGGCTTTTTCTAGGACTGCCCAAGCAGCAGAAAAAGAAATACTGAAAGAATAGCTCGTTCAAAAACGCCCTATAAAGGGGAAAGGCAGTCTGAGCTTCCATGCCTCAAATGAAAGTCAGGATCCTTTCCTCTTTTACATCACGATCAGTAATAACATGGTCTGTTGTTTTAGGTGCCTCTCTGCAGTGAGGTTACCCGGTCAGAAGAGATCATCCTTGTTACCAGAACTTACTGACTGCTCTAACGCTGATGTGTCCAGGCAGGACAGATGCCTCCCTGGCTCACGAACGCTCTGAAGTTCTCCTCCTTGTGGGACCATGCACCCACAGGCTGGACACTAGAACTTATAGCTAAGGAATGAATTCTTAAAGCGCATCTCAAATGAGTTGAGTAAAGCTTCTGCCAAAAAGTAGAAATAAAAAAACTTGCCATTGCAAATATACTTCCACTATATGCATAGCGGTTCAGAGAAAGAACATTTCAATTTAGGATTTCACTGGCTTTCTGGAGTTCCTTACCAAAATATAATTACCAAAACAATGAAAGAACAACTAGGAATTTGAACTCTAAACATTTACAGTGCAAATTCCTGCAGTACCTCATTTAACATATGTATGGACCGTGTGTGAGCAAATCCCAGTGAATGCAGGTAAACTACCAGCATTTACAGCATTAAACCATTCTGTAATTGCACAGGCTCTGTAAAGTTAAATAAATTCCAAGATGGAAAAAGTTGTGAATTTAAAATGCATTTGGAGCAGACAGCTAGAAAAAAGTGGACAATAAAATGTCACATCAACAAACCAATGAAATATTTAGATAACTTGATTATAGTAGCAGAAAATAAACAATCGAAGCTTATTTTCAACATTTCTTTAAATGGGAAACAAGGGAGAAGGAAACTGGCCAGACAGTGGAGCGAAAGGCTGTTTTAGGAGTTCATACGCAGCTGGCTAAAGCTGTGTATCAAATCCATATTTTTAAGACAAGTTTTATATTACAATTCATTTTGTAAGGGCTGCTGCAGCCCACCCAGACCCCTGTCATTCCATGTGAAAAGGTGCGGGAGAAGTCAAGCAGCCATAAAGCAAAAGCTTTGCTCCGAGAGAAGCTTTTGCCCCTGGCAAACCCCCACCTGGCCTCGAGTTATAGCCGGCCGGGGATTTTTTTTTTTTTTTTTTTTTACCGCTTCCCCCCCCCCTCCCCGGTACCTGCGGCAGCTTCGGGTCGTTGATGTCCCAGGTGAGCTTCATGGCGGGGGGGTGATGGCGGGAGGCGACTCCCGCTTTTTTATTCTGTCGGGGCGTCCCCATGGGGGGGGGGGGGGGAGCTCCCGGCCGGCCCCACAGGCGGGGCAGCAGCGTGTGTCTGTCGGGTGTCCCCTTCCCTTCTCTTCACACACACAAACACCCTCACTCACCGGGCGGGTGGGCTCTGCTCCCCCTCCGCCCCCCAGGCGGGCTCCCCTGCCGTTATCTGGAGATGGGGGGGGGGGGGCAGCCAAGGGGGTCTTGCTCGAATCCACCCCCTCCTAGCACCGGGGGCTGCAAATTGAAGGCAGGGTCTGGAAGTCTAACCCGGCAGGAGCAGCCTCGGACCGGGGTGGGGGGAAACCTATCTCTGGGAGCATCCCTGCCCCCTCGGGATACCCCTCAGGGGGGATTTTGAGTGTGGCTCGGAGTTGCCTGCAGCTTGAAAAGCTCTTTTTTTTTTTTTTTTTTTTTTTTTTTTTGTGGGGGTGTTGGAGTCAAAGGCACGGTACAAATAACCCGCTTTTCCTTAATTGCACTCGTACACCTGCCCTTTAGGTTTAGGTGTCAACGAATTAAGCGCTATTAAGCGTGTTCTCCCTTCACGCTGTGCTCTGTAACTCAAATTTAAAACGCCAAAGCAGAGTCAGTGCCACCTTACTGAGCAGCACTTTTTAATTTATTAGAAAGTTACAGGTAGCGGTTTTTTACCTTCTTCTTTTAGGCAAAAAATTAGCCAATTGGGCACTTTTTTTTTGGGGGGGGGGGCGGGGACGACGACGGACAAAAATAATTTTGCTTTTAGCTTTCAGAAACAGAAAGAAAAAGAATTAAACTATCCTTAATATTATAAAGGCTGAAACGTTGAACGCCTAATGCTTCTAATAATCCTTTAAACGATCCCACCTGTGCTGAAGGATCTCCTCAGCTGCTTCCATCCCCTCTCAAAAGCTACTGAACTTTACCTTTAGCTGCGCAAATTAAAAACCAGCCTGTCGCAGAAAACGCCGGCTGTGACCGACCCCACGCACCCCCCCGGGGGGGTTGGGCTCCTCTTTCGTGCCCCCACAGGTGTCAATGACCATCACCTGGGTGCGGAGGGGCCGGGCAGAGCCCCCACCCAGCTGCGGCTTTTTAGCGCGAGTGCGAAGTTGATTTTTTTTTTTTTTTTTTTTTTTTTTTTTACCACACACACACACAGAGTCCCCAGAGCCTCGCTGAGTGAAAGGAGAGCTCTCGGGGCCGTGGGAAGCGTGGGTGAACAGCTCCCCTTCGCCTCCAACGCGGGTGGAGTCGTTAGTGGCCGTGGGGAACCGGGGGGAAAGTGGCTTTAACACCCCATCCCCCCCCCAAACCGCGGAGCTGTAACCCGGCGTGGCGTGTCCCCCCTCCCCAAATCCCGCTCCGTGGCTCAGGTAAGTGCCGCTCCCCACGCGGGGAACCGGCAGCCAGGCTGCGGGGGGGCGGGGAACCGGTTCCCACGGAGGGGGGACCACCCGTGGGGCTCCGCTACGGCTTCTTAAACCTCTAGTTTGGTAGCGTGGGGTGAGTTTGGGACTTCCCTGAGGAAGTAAGGAAAGCAACCCTACTTTCGGGGAGAGAGAGTGTGAGAAAGCGCTCTTCAGTTCTGGGGCAGAAAAAAATGCGTTGTGGGTTTGTTTTTTTTTTTTTTTTTTTTTTGCTTTGTTCTGTTTTGTTTTCACCCCTGTGTTTCTGTCTCCCTTTTCTTTCCGAAGGAAGAAAAAAGTGAAAAACGGAATAGGGAGGTGAATGGCAACATGGCAGCCAGAGCAGAAAACTATGTAAATATCCTTTAAAAGCATTCTTAGCTTTATCTTAAAAATAAATAAATATATATATTTAAAAGCGCATTCTTAAATGGACATGGCACAACCCAGAATTTTTAGTAACTTAATGTAATGTGAAAAGTGCTGGGAGATCCCTTAATCTTTTCTTTATTAAGTAGGAAGAAACAATTGTAATGCTTATGGGACATGGTAAGAATTACAAACTGAGTGTATTAAAGGAGTTGCTTATTTCCTTATTCAGTATCCTTTAGGATTACCAAGTTTTGAAGGTTCTGCCTCTTTTGGAGACTAAGACTGACGTTTCACCTTAAGATGTAACAGTAAAATTAAAGTAAAGAAACAAATGGAGTAAAAACAAATAAAAAGCCTGTAACTTTTAAAATAGCATCACAAGTATTTTCTCATAATCAGTGCTGCAATGATTTAAATGCCCACTTATTTTAATTGCTAGTTGTTTGCTTCCCTTCCCTCTGCAGCTTGAATCGCTTCTCATGGGTGCTTTTAAGGGGAAAGGATTTCAGAAAATAAGTGAATTGCTTCAGGAGAGAGAAATAGAGCCTCCTCAGAAATACAGCAAATCTCTCCTCAAGCAGCTAGACAAATCACTGAGAAAGGTGAGTACCATAAATAATCTGAACCATTTTAAGGCCCAGCTCTGTGGGTATCAGGCTAATAAAGCACAGCACTCTGTATTTCTGTAGGAGCTGGACAAGAATGAATTCCAGAATGTTTCGCTGCTGCTGAGGTGTATTCAACTCTACTGTAAATCTGATCTTCAAGAAGGGACAAGTTTGTTTATTGAGCAAGGACTGGGAGAAAAGATGAGTAGAATACTGTATATAAGTTACTAATATCATTTAAGGTTGCTTGCATCAGGAGAAGAATTCCAAGGAAGGGTGACCTAGAGGATGGCTTGTTGGACATAAATAAATATATTTTTTTTTAACATGTTGCATGAACTGAGTGGGGAAAAAATGCTTACTTTTGTTCCATTACTTTCAGTACAACAGCTAATATCATGGCTTCGCTTATTACCCAACTTAATGGGTTTGTGGGTTTTTTTTTAGCTGACAAAGGAAGGAGAGGATGAGTTTTGATGAGTGCCATTTATGAAATAATATAGAATTTCTAGATGCGTTTTAAATGCTCCAGCAAAATACAACTTTAGTAGTAGAACTGGTGAGCAGTTTGTGCTTTTATAATTTTAAAAGCTGACATGCTCTTGATGAAGGTCCCTTTTTAGGTACATAGTAAACCAGATGCATTTAATCTGCAAGTGTATTTTATCTTCTGGCACAATGGAAACATTCAGATTTCAGCTGGTAATACTTGTAGTAGCAGAAATGCCCTTGTGCTGATGATGAGTAATATGTAGATCTAGGATAGCTCGGAGGGAACAGCTAACGCTTGCTGTCTGTTAGCAGAGTTATACGGAGGGGTCCTTGGTCCAAAATTTTGTAATCCTGTCTTGAGATCATGCTTATCAGGGATAGAATTGTGCAAAATTCCTGTGTGGAGAGGGTAGTAATAAAATGTAACCAATCTGAGCTCTGTACCCTCAGTGAAGCATGGATTTCTAGTTGGCTGTAGGTGTGTGATGCTATGCAATATGTTTCAAAACACAAAGTATTAAAATAATGGCTTTGAAAAAGCTTGATGAATTTTTAAAGCATTATTTCATTGTGAATTGATGTCCTCTGGAAATGTCCATAGGAGTTGCAGTGCTGCTAGCAGTGTGCATTGTGTCCAGGAGGTACTGAGCATCACGAGTGGGTGCCTAAAGATGAGAAAGGAGGGAAGTGGGAGGGATAAGTCCTGCTGATGAGTGGGTGTGAGGGTGGCACCTGTCCTAGCAAAATCTGAGCACCTAAGTGCTGTGTCGTTTTTGACACAGTACATGACTCTGAAGTTCAAAAAACCCTCCCTCTATGCGTAAGGTTTCCTGCAGATATATCTAGTTTAAGGATTATTAACTCTTCTTCCCAGGTTTTAACTGATTTTTTTAATTTTTACTTGGTATCATGGTTTGAAAGAACAAGAGCATTTGTGATCCTCATCAACACAAAGGAGAATAAATATTTGGTGTTGCTTCTTGAAGACTTCTTTGACACTGCATTGGTATGTATGTGCATTAAGGAGCCTTTACTGGCTAAGAAAGCCATTGTTCACAGTTTTCTGTTAAAAAATAAATAGTTACACAGACCTTGTGCCCTAGGACTGAACCTGGGATGCAGCTATGGGCTGGCGTTAGGCTGAGGTTTGACACACCTGGGAGAACCTGCTGCAGGGCTGCACAGAGCTGCAGCTTTTCTCGTTTTCTAACATGAAGCTAAATGTTTGTTTTTGCAGTAAAATGTGCAAGAAGTTCTGATGCATATTGTAAATAAAAGCTTTTGTGCTGAAGCTCTCTTAAAAACAGGAGTTACCAGCACTGAACTGCACTTCATAGGCAAATGTGTTTGCCAAGGTGGTCCTTGCGATTTGTTCCTGTGGTGTTTGAAAGGGCTGATTTATTTTTAAAGAATAATCTGAGATGCTTACAATTTGTTAGGTTCCTATTTTAAATATGCGTAATTTAGAAGGCATTGGAGGGCTGGTGATGTAAATTTGCAGTAGGAAGAATGCTTTTAGCCTCTTTCCCCAAGCTGTTCCCCCAGTCTTGTCTGCAGCTTCCTGGGACTGTGTCACTTTGTGCAGCAGAACTTCTGACTTGTTAGGAGACTTGATAAAAGATATTTGAGTGAAATAAAAATTTCTTTCTCTATTAAGCACATTGAAATGATATGAAATACTCTAGAAATGATTTGACAGAATTTGATTTCTTTGTCTTCCTGGTCCATTTCTTCTGTATGCTTTCACTGTGGAGGATGAAGCGCTGCTTTATTTGTGTTGTGGGTGGTTAATTTTCCTCAAGGGACTTCAGTGCTCTTCAGATATCATATGCTATGATTTCTAGTACTGTCGTGTGTAAACATAAAATGTGTTTTTTACAAAGACCCACATGCGTAATAAAAATAACGAAGCGATGCCACGATGTGGGTTTTCCAGGGAGCCTGAGGGCACGGAGTGCTGCTGAAATCCCCGGGGGAAGTGGGTACTTCTCTCCTTTTACCCTCCCTGCGTGATGCCAGCCTGTACAATCGGGGTGACCATGTGTGACATGCCTGTATCGAGTGGCCTAGCTTTTCCTGATGTGGGTGCACTGGTGTTTTACATCATCTAGTCTCTGAAAGTTGTGATGGTGGGGGCACAAACACCTCAGGACTTTGAGTGCTCCTGTTTTTAGGTTGTGGTGTGTTAACGAAGGCTTCTTTTACTTTTTCTATCAGGTGATTTGCAAGTGTAGTGACGAAGGTCAGTATTGTTTTTTGTTCCATTACTTGATATCCTGAATCTTGGTCTCAGGAGAGTATTTCTTAACTCTGTTTGAACTCCATCCCTTTTCTCTTCTACCCTCTACTCCCTAACCCTACCCCCCAATGTTTTCTTTAAATCCTACTGCTGATTTCTCTCCAGTAAACGTTCATGAAAGTTAACATTGAAGCACAAAACCTTTTACTTTCTCTGCTTGTTTTGAATATGTTGGGGGTAAAAAAAAAAAATCTAGCTGTGGTATCTTGTCTAAATGGTCAACATGAAGTATTTAACTCGGTCAGAGTAAGTGCTGCTTCTGACAGGACTCGAGGCTAGAATGTCTGCTCTTGCACATCTATTCCTAGTGGCTTCAGATGTTATTCCCTTGCAGAAGGCAGCCACCTTTGCAGAATAACATATCTTCTTCAGCCATCCTAACTAGTCAGAGGGATGTCTGTCTCAGTGAGATTTTGTTGGTGGCTGCAACTGGCTTCCCATTAAGGCCGGGGAGCTGGTGCTGTCAGAAAGAGCAAGTGTCCGTGTGCCCCTGCATCCAGGCTCATGAGTTGCGTAGAAATGAAATGTTACCTTGTGGGCTGGGTAACTCGAGTTTATTCATCCGTGTAGCTTGTTCTAGTGGGAGCAGAGCAGGCATGAGCATCTTCTCATTAATAATCTAGTGGTTTGCTGTGACTTTGACAAAATCTGTATGTTATGGATTTATCTCTTGTTGATAGTAAGTAGCTTTTCCTTTCTGCACCTATTTAAATGGTTACCCAGGTCAGCAGTTAAAGTATCTGGAGCTTTTTTTTTTTTTTTCACATAGCAGTTACCAGTTTCCTTTTCTCTGTAGGAATAGATGGTTGGAAGCTTTGTTTTAAAATGAATCCACAGCTGGAATACTTTTCCTCCTTCAACACAACAAACTGTAGTTGCTTCAACTATCTTTTATGTGGAGACCAGCTCATTGTTAGCTGTAACATTTCAAACAATTTTTCTAGGGAAGAAAGAGATGGTGAATCTATTTTTACCTGAACTAGGGCATCTAGTGACAGAAGCAAATGCTTGCTTTGCTCTGCGGCAGGAGGTAAGACTCCTACCAGAAGAAGAAAATTATAGATACATACGCACACAAATGTGTGTAATTAGATACAAAATGTGAAAAATGTTACTGAATTATTTCCCTTGTGTCTCTGCCCTTTCTTCTGTGGGGGGGAAGGCTATGAGGACCCTCAACTCTATACTTGACAGTGTCCCACGGGAGGAGAGAAAGAAATTCCCCCTGTCTGAGGAGATGTGCTCACTCACGTAAGTGGCTTTGCTTCCAGCTTCTGTAGCTAACCATGGTCTTCTCTGCAACAAGAGTTAGTTATTCCCACCTTAACTTGTTGCATTATGTTTTTTTTCAGGAAATGCCTTGCAAAAACTATACTGGAGGCTGGCGGTAAGAAGTATTTAGTAGTTATGAAGTTGGGGTTCTTTGGCTTTACTTCATCTGCGTGCTTTTTATAGATGAATTACAATTGAAATGATTTCCTTTTCGAGAGTTGATTTCCAGGGAGGGAAAGCAGATTGTACTTTAAGAAAATGTTAATGAAATAAATCCTAGATACAACAATACATTAGTTCTTTCTGGTTAGTTTTTGTAGTTTGTATTAACTAATATGAAAAGCAAAACTGATGTATGTAGAAAGGTAATTAGATCAGCTTTCTGTGTTTATTAGAGGTAATTAGATCAGCTTTATGTGTTTATAAAATATGCTGGCTATAAAATATGCTGATTAGTCTTTAGAAGATAAACTTTAACCATGCCATGATATGGACAAACTTCAGTTAATAAGGTTTATAGCCTCCTGAGTGAAATCTTTTTTGTTTTCTCCTGTCAATAACACTTTCTAAGGGCTTTATGGTGGTATGTGAAATGTAACTTAGCTGTAGTTAGTGATGAGGCTTTGCTCGTGTCCCCTCCCTGATCCCAAAGAACATCTCCTGATGACCACATGTGCCCTGGTTAGTGATGCTCCGCACCCCGACCTTGCTGAGCCGGGGATGCCTGGAGCTCATGCAAGCTAGCTGGTGAATATGGCCGTGTAGTATATAAGTGCAAGAGTAGTAATGCTATAGCCCTCTGTTATTCTGGGGAGTGATATTTATCCTGTGCTTATGTTTACCATGTAGATTATGACCTTCAGGTTGCCATTTCAGAAGCACTTTGTAGGTTAATGACAAAAAAATGGAGGGATGACTTTGTTCACAGCTGGTTTGAAGATGACTATCTTGCTGAAGCTTTCAAAGAGATCAAGGATAGAGAATTTGAGACGGTGAGGGCCCTTATTTTGAAAACAACATACTTGACAAGTCTGTATAGGGGCTAGTTTTGGTTGAGTTCAGTCAGGATGTCCTTGTAAGAAGTTCCTACAAAACTGATTTTATAAATATGCGAAGTCAGTTATTTGTTGATGATGGGGGTTCTTTTATTTTTTAATCTGGCAAATACAAAATGGCATATTGTTAAAATAGCTCTTATTTCTAAGGTATTTTACTTCAAAAGCATAAATAAATTAACTTTTGTGGTTTCTTTTTGGAGGCTTGCTGGTCATAAGTTGAGTCTAACTGTTTGTAGCAACTTGAGTGTTTCTTCCCCAGCCTTTGGCATCACACTGACTAGTTAAAAGCTTATAACTGGGAGTAGAGGTTACACAGCCCAATAAAACAACTCTTTTGCAAGGGAAATGTAGCCTGATTTTAACAAGATGTCATTTGTCTTGAAGGACTGCAGAAAATTTCTTAACCGGCTAAATGAAAGGCTTGGAAATGGAAAGAGGTAAGCTGTGAACCAAAAGAATAAACTGGTGCTGTCATTACCACAGAGGGGAAAAACTAGGATTGTAAATTGACTTGAGTTATATTTAAAAAAAAAAAAAAAAGGAATTGCACCACATGTGAATAATTATGTTCTTCTTAAAGATATTTTATTCATTTTAATGGTGGTTCTTTTGACAGTAAAATCTATTAAGATGATGCATCGCTACTGAAATACTGTATTCTCTAAGCTTCTCCAAGCTTAATTTACTTCTAGGAATTTATTCTTTTTTGAACAATAAGATTAATAACCAATCTTAAGGACTTTTCTTACATTCAACATCAGAGTCTGACTTTATGAATCATGTGAAGTTTGCTTTTCTTCCAGAGTCTATTCGTTTCCTTGCATATCTGCTTTTGCTGACATGAATGAGGTAATAGTCCTTAATGCTGTGACATCTTCCCTACAGTGTTACTGCTGCTAAAATGTTACTTTCTGTGGTATATGTCTGTGGTTTTTTTTCTCCCTATTTTCCATTAAACAGCTTAATTTTCTAGAGTGTATAGTGTAACCTCCTATTCTAGTTGGAAAGTTTGCTTGTTTGACACTTAGCTCCCAACTTACTGCTGCTGACTTTGCTTTTATATCAGCCAAATGATAGAGGCAGTACTTGTCTTCATGGTGATGACAGAAGAGAGATCTCTAAAAAGAAACAGGAGGAGAGAGCAACTCTGATTCCTCCGGCAGAGCTGCCCCCAGACTGCCAGAAAACAAGATTAGTCTGGTGCCCGTGTAGGAAAGGTCATAGTCTCAGTCATGGATCCTGCAGGTTTTTTTACTGGTCTTTAAGTAAATGTATTTGTGGCACCATTCCTGACAGTTGTATCAAATCAAAGCCACGCTGATAGAAGCTGGTTCCCCTGCTTCTGCTTATTTCAAGTGCTCAGAAACACAGAAAACTTTTGTGGACTTTCCTGCCACAAACATGTGAGAACCGGCATATTGCCTTTTCCTTGGCTGATGTAGAGCCACCTCTGACTTCGTGGGTGTTGTTGGGTGACCAGCAGGCTGGTAACTCACAGGTTGATCCCAACTTTTATTTCTGAGAGATATGCATATGTGTATACTCATATGTAAGGCAACACTTTCCAATTTTGTCTTGTTAAAGAAAACTGAGAATGATACAGCAGTTGTGGGGTTTTCCTGGGAATGTCAGCGCTGCTGTTGTGCTTCCCCAGGTGAAGAAGCCATTGGATGAGAAGCTGGAAGGGTTCTGGATTGACTTCAACACTGGCAGCCAGAGTGTGACATTCTATGTGGACAGTAAAGAGGTAAGAGCAAAGCCCAGGTAGCCTTGGGCTAGCGTAATGCAGCGGGAGCTTGCTCAGCCCTTCTGATGTGGTGGCTTTGGTTTTCAAAGGGTGCTCTTTGGGAGTCTGTGAGGCTGTCGAAAGAAGCAGTCAGAGGTTACAGCCTGAAGGGTAAGATTTTCCTGCCAGCATTGTTTTCTGTTTGGCTGTGGACCCACAAGACACATGCAGCCAACCTAAAATCTCACCATCACCAAAGGGAGCTCCTGTGTCATCTCCTCCTCCCTCCCTGCTGTGCCCGTTGGTCACCTTGCAGCAGCTCTGCTTGTTGGACTGTCTGTTGGCTCATTTAGCACAAAAACCTACCCTCCCTACCCAAGCATGGCATGTTGAGGGGTCAGTTTGTAGATGTCCCAGGGCATACCATAATCATCTAGATCCAATAAGAAAGAAATGGATGAACAGAGTAATTGGAAATGCACAGGCAACAGGTTAAAGAAACTGTTTTTAAAAGTCCCAAACACTTATTCAGATATTTTTGGGATGATAGGCTGAATGTCTTGGTCTAAACCAGATCTAACTACTTTTTTTTTTTTTTTTTTTACACAGAGAATGATGGAGAAAAAGTTGTTAAAATTTATATGAAGATTCCTGCTACTTTTAATGAAACAGAAGCAACAAAAATCAAAATATCTTTCAGTGCTGAGTTTGAAATCTTAAGTATACTTAGAAAAGTCCTGGGAGATGAAAAAATGATGGTAAGCTCTTAGTATGAGTGTTTTGCCTTTCTAAACTATACTTAATATACGCTGGGCAAAAACATTCAGTGGGTTTTTTTATGCCTGTTTTTATATATCAGTCTTCCCCTCACTGATTTGTGACTCTTTGTATAGATGTTCTTAGCTTTGGCCTGAAAGATAGATTAGAACCTTTAGGAAAGAAGTTTCAAGGGACTTAAATTTATGGTTTAGAAGCTGTAAGGTTAGACTGGTTTGTTAATCAGTTCAGTGTGTTATTAATTTTGCTGAGTTTATGAATTAGGAAACAAAGCCTATGGTATTTAATTGTGTCACTTGAAGTACAAACATGCTTTTGCATCAGCTCAAAGTGTTACATTGCACAGGATGAGCGAGTTGTGATACAAGAACCTGGACAAGAGAAAAGGGATGCTGCATAACACAAATTTTAGATTGACTTTGTAGATAATATTCTAAATTAAAAGTAGAGTACTTTTAAAACTGTTTTTTATAAGCTAATGGAAGAACAGGGGAGATGTGTGTGATACTTTTTTTTTTGGGTAAATGTTAATACGGTTAATTTTTTTTTATACTTGTGATTCATCCATAGACTATGGCATTTGCAGAAAATACTAAGTGACAGTAAATAGCCATAGTATCAGTGGCTGCCATTTGTCTTTGCAGGAGCCAAGACCTTTTCAAATGGTCAACTCATTTAGCATCCAATGATTTGTTGCTGGTGATTGACAACTCTTAGTTTTGTTAAGTAGATGACTTTACTAGATACAGACTCTACTTTTTTTAAGGTCATTTTCACATGAGATTAATTCACACCAACAGATAAATATGGCTGAAGAGGAGTCTCTCTGTGCTGGGAAGCAAGACGAGAGGCATGAAGCAGGTGATTTTTTGAAAAATCACTATTTTATTTCATGAAATATGAATTATTTGGTTTTAAAATCAGTATCTTCACTTGTGGTTCACAGCTTGCAGTCAACCACATTAACAACAACAACAAAAAACCCCCACAGCCTCCAAGCTTCATCTTCTATTGTTCATCTCTTGTGAGCTTGGAAACTGGTGCTTGCGGTGGATGCTGAGCCCCCTTTAGCCCATGGAGCAAGGTCGGGGCACCGTGGCCATGTGCTGCTGGAACTGCTCATGGAGAGGGGGTCTGTGTGCTGGCTGGCAGCCTGGCAGGGCACATCTCAGCTGCTGGCTCACCTCCGACATGCGAAGAGCACGCAGTAGTGTTTTCCCGGGTGAGGTGGGATGCAGTCATCTGTCCTCTTTGCTTGCCCCGTGCATGGTCCCTGGTTTGGCTGTGCTGTGCAGGGGGCTGCTGCAGATACCTCATGTTGCAGGGTTGTCTCTGTGTGCCCCAAGTACAAAAGCAGCTGCATGCCTTACAGTAGGAGAAGCTCTTAGCTAGACCTTTATTTCCTCCTCACCGGCCTACAGCCAGTGCTTTGTATTTCTTTGAGATGGGCACGTCGAATTTTCTGTGATCAAATGGTGTGACTCTTCACGTTGCCAGTGAGCATCTCCTTCAAGATGTTTCTTTCCAGGGTCGTTGGGCTGAGTTTAATTTTGTTCCAAATATGATAAATGTCGAGGGAACACAGAGCCCAAAGTACAGGTGCGACAGTTGGGTGCCTGACCCAAGGGAAGTTCCAAGTCCGGCACTTGACCAAGGGGAAGAGAAAGTATCTTCTTCCTTTCCCTCTACCCTGCTCTGAAGCTCTTCTGTAAATCCCCAAAAAGGCTGTGACCCATAATTTGAGAAAAAGCTGCTTTCACCACAAAAGCAAGACACGCATGATCAAAATTGGTCTTAAATAGGAAATCTTTCCTCAGCTCAATTTCTGTATCAAATTATTTGGGAGATGGCTTTTTTTCTGTGCAGTGATCTTTCTCTTTGAAGGCTGGGATAGGTCATTGCTGCAAAATTGGCTGTACTTCAGGTTTTTGAAGTGATTATTTTTTGTGGGGGTTATGCCTTGCTGTAACTTGCTTAAACAGCTCTTTCAAGACAATAAACTCTCAGCACTCTTTCTACCACTACCACCCACCATCTCAGAAAATGAATCACAAGTTTGAAGAGCCCTTATATTAGGTAGTATTTGTCCTGTGCCTATATTAAGAGCAAATTTTTATGTTCCTCTTAGTTGCTGTGCATTTAAGATACCTACAGGTGAATACCTGAAAGAGTTATGTCCAGCTCTAGATGTCTGAGATGGTGACTCCTTCAGTAGTCCTTCCCATTTTCTTCCAGTTACAACCCAAAATGAGCTAGAACTGAAATCCTCCAGATTCTGGAGGTGCAGGTGAGGGAGAAGCTCCTTCATCAGCATCCACCATGAAGCAGACACTGAGGTGCAAAGCGAGCACTACTGCTTGAAGCAATCAAGGAGTGCAGAGGGCAGAAGGTAGTTCATCTGTAGTGAAACAGCTTTTGCAGTGGCTGGTAGAGATTCAACACAGGGAAATGAAGATGGCAGAAGGGTCCTGATGGTCTGTTGCTTTAGCCAGACACAAATGGTTGTTTCATGTCTTCCAGAGCCAAGAGTCTAAGTGGCAATAAGATGATGAATTTGTATATCTCCATATAGTATGAGCAGCTTAGGAGGAGTAGGCTCAAGAAGCTGTTTATTTAGCACTGCAGTTCTGCACTGGGTAGTTTGGGGATGTTTGGTGTTCTTGTTCTATTAAACATGATCTTGAGATGTTTGTGCCTAACAAGTTTGTAAAGTTATGCTTTTATGCACGTGTGTAAGAATGGAAGGGAACTGTGTGTGTTCAGTTACTGCAAGGACATTCTCACCCCATTGCTCTTCTTCAGTGTTGCCTGAGTCCACTAATCCACAGGGCAGAACAGATCCTTCAAACTCTGAAAACATGGAGACTCCACCAGACGACTTGGCCTCTCAGCACAGCCCACAGTTAACAGACACTGTAGCAGTAAGTGTTTGGTGTATGGTGAAACAGTCCTTGTGCCCCCTTTTCCCCTCCTCCAGTCTGCTTTTTTATAGGTGTGGTTAAAACCTTCTTTTGAAGAAAACTGGTTTGTACCCAAATCAACAGTGTTTTCAAACTCCATCTTATATCGGTGGGAGGACAGCCCAAACGCTTGCCTCCAGGGCTGAAATTTTGGCAAAAATGCTTCAAAAAGAAAAAAGGAATTTTACTCCCCCTTATAAAGGGGGTGGTGGGATGCTCCTAGTGAGAAGCTCATCGTATTTCTTGTATTCAACCCAAAATATTTTTATGGGTTTAATGGTGAACCTGTCATCCAGCTGTGCTGCAGGATAGCACGGAAAATCTGTATTCCTAAAAAAGCACCATTTCTTTATTGGTCATATGCATGTTCTGTTCATGGTTTCATGTCTCAGCAGGAAATGGTGAACTCTGATGTCACCACGAGTACAGTGAACCAGCAGGCTGATGTGGAAGATGCTAATGAACGCTCAGGTCAGGCATGGCTCCCTTCAGTTCCTTAAGTCTGACCCAGTTAAGTGTCACCCAGGTGACATGGTGAAGGCTCTGCATTTGTGGGCCTTATAGCAAAAGCAGATAATGTTTAATAGTAGCTCCAGAGAGTGAAGCTGTGGTTTCCTTGTCTTCTTCAGTAGAAAAGTCCAAAACTTCATCTCCAAGGATGAAAGCTAAGCCTAGGTGAGTGTCTTGCACACAAAAAGTTACAAGGTGGATTTTTTCTGGTTTTGTGTTGTTTTCCCTCTCTTAGGGTTTTAATGCATGTGATTTTTGAGGTTTATTCCATCAATCGTTAAACAGAAGAAATAATTCTGTTTTGCCACCCAGGCTGGCTGCCTGGAGTTACAGAACTTTGGAGTTGAAGAATAGTGATGTTTGGTTACTGGCTTGTCTGCTACTTTGGTGTGACTTTTCTCTCTCACCATTGATTTAATCTAAATATTAGAGAAGTATACAGCTATATTAGAGTTTAACTTCAGCTGTGTAACTGCAGCTTACCAGATATGTAGTTTTTCATAACAGGGATCGTGACTTTTGTGAAAGAATGTGTGAATTTGAGTTCACCTTGGCATTAGTAATACCTTTTTCCAGAGATTTGTAGGAGAGTATTTCTTACAGTTAATGAGTTGGACTTCTGTAGAACTACTCATTAGCTTTCTTCACTACACAGCTTTTAAACCACTGCTCTAATGCCAATTGGTACAAGCATGTTTTGTTTTGTTTTTTTTTTTTTTTTGCCTCTTGGCACTTCACAAACTGACTCTTTGGGCTTTAAATGAACAGCCCCTCAGCACTGCAATTCCCCTCACGTGTCCTCTTGTCCCCAGTGAGAAGCCCCTAGAAGAGCCACCCGTGGAGGAGTCGACATCAAAGGTATGTTTGCTGTGGGGCCCACCTGAGTGAAGAGACAAGGGGCAGGGTAGAGATGCTTTGGTGGAGTTGCAGAAGACAGCTAGGATGGGTTGACCCACTCCTGCCATTGAGTGGTGTCCAAAGCCCACATAGTGTCATTTGTACCTGCTGTAACATGCTATTTAGCACCAAAAGCAAGCTGCAGAGGCAATGGCTGCTCACTTCAGCCTAATGTGGCCCAACCAAGTAATTCAAGCTCAGCTGAGTTGATTCAGTATGTACCCCCCGGCAGCAGTGTGCTGTGCTTGTGTCCAGGAGCATGGCGTGTGGGCAACCAGCCTGGCTGTGTGTGCGACAAACTCGGATGTTGTAAGACTTAGACATGGTCTGCAAGAGCAAAGATTTGCTTCCCTTCGGGAAGCAAGTCTTGTAAGTCTGTGGACATGTTTATTTGGTTTTGTATCCCAGCTCTAATGATCCCCCCACACTAGATCTGTACTTGTACTCCTGGCAGAGGAGCTTGCCACCTGGGTAATCTAACAAACAGCTAAGAGACACCTGTAATTGCATTTCTTCAGACAACTTGAGCACTTGGAAATTTCTATTGGTGTGCGTAGTGCATGGATTCTTTTTATACTTGGATGGGAGAAATTCAATTCCCAAAGCAATAATTTTAATTTGGAGTAAGAAATCACATTTTAGACTTGTTCTTGGGTTTACATTTCCAGGTACTAGTTCAGATTTTCTTTTAAAATTATTTTTTAACTGACAGTTCAAAGATTTTGTAACGCTTGCCCACTGCACAATGAAACCAACGCTTTTGAACTATTACTTTCTGTATCCTCGCTGACTTGCCTGCCCTGCCCCTGCCACCTCCCTCCCTTCCACCCAGTTTAGTTCCAGGACTTCCATGCTTTCTAGTAGGAAAGAACTGCAGGAAATGAAGATGGACAGCTGTTGCAATATAGAAGGAACAAAGTTTCCTGGCACTCCTTATCTCTGGTTTTAGTAGGCTCTAGGATAAGAACATGACTTTGCATATTGTAGCTTTAGATCCTGCAACTCTTCTCCTTTTCAGAAGACTGTTACCTGGGAGAAGAGGAACAGAAAAACAAGATCAGCCAAGCAGAAGACTGAAGGCAGGTATGACACAAGCCCTAAGCCCATGCAGGGTCGGGTGTACCAGGTGGTTTTAGACCATTTTTAGCACTAATGGGGGAGCAAGTGTGCCTACGGGGTGGGCTGTCTGAACAGAACAGACAGCACAACAAGCAGGAGGCTGTGAAGGGTCATAACTTGTCTCAGTAGGAACCTCTGCGTCCCCAAAGCAATAAAGAATTCAGAAGCTAACTCTAGGCTGGCAAAAATTCCCTCACCTCTGTAATACATTGGCTTCTCTGTTTTTTCTCACCCAACCGTAATCCTCCTCATCCTCTAGTGAGTTGAGTTGTGAGTGGCAGCTTCTTTCACAGACAGCCAAGCTTTTTCAGATACTGTCCCAGTTCTTTGGCATTGTGTATCCTAGAGATTCAAGGCAGTTTCTTTCCGTTTTTCCCCTTCCCTCACACCCATGCAGGGCTCTGCTCATGTTCAAAGCCTGTGGTGCCACGGGCAGAGGCACTCGAGGGTTTGAGGGCCATGTGCATTCTGTGGCACTGGAAGTCTGTCTTGTTGCACCCTCCTCCTGCCCTTTCTGCTGAATATTGTGTGCAAGTTGCTGTCTGCTGCTGGGTGGGAGAGCAAGTGAACCGTATGCGAGGATCTCTGCTGCGATTCTGGCTGTTCTGGGTCTTCCGTGGGTATCCTGCTTCTGTCTACCGACTTTTAGGTTAAAAAAAACAACTAAAATAAACAAACAAAAAAATAAAAAAAAAAACCCGAAACCTCCAAACCAAATGTTTAGATGAATTTTTTGATTGATTGTAGATAAGAATGGGAAACCTTGATGCAGAACTACAAGTTATGTGTTTTAAGACCAAAGAACAACAGGAGTAACATTGTAGAAGTTGGAGGTGAAGAACTACTTAGCTTGGTCATTCTGCTCCCTCTAGTGTTTCATCTGAAAATGAGCGTTTATTTCCTGTAGAAGTCTTTCACGAAGAGCTCAGTTCTCCAGTCTTCCCATTTTTTCACTAGTAAGAAGGAGAGGGTGTACTGTAGATTAAGCAGTAATTGTAGGATTTTTTTTAAATAGTTACGTTTTGGAGAAAGAAATAAAGGAACAGTTAAGTTTAAATGTTGAAAGACATGAAAACAAAATATGGATGCATACGGAGAAGGTGGTTAGAGAACAAACGTTAAATGTTAGAATTTTCAGAAGGGAATCAAATGGATTTTTTTCTCTTAAATGCTTCTGAAATATTTTCATTCATTATTTCTTCCTACCACGTAGTATTACTGGTGATAGGCGAACAAAATGTCCACTACGTAAACAGGGATAGACTAACTTGTATCTTTTTAATTTTAAGTGAACTATTCAGATTTTACAATTGAAAAGGTGAGAATCAAGGCAGATGATAATAGGACTAAATAGGAAGGGAACAAATATTTTTTTACAAGTTGAGAAGACAGCATTTGTAGGCGTATAAGGTATCTCAGTGTTTACTGTATAACAGCGTTCATAGGGGAGGGGAGTGGAAACAAACCATATTATATCTTCCCCCCCATATTCTTAGTGAATTTCTATAGGGTGATTCTTCACAATTGTATGTCACTACCACATATATGTTGTCTTGCAGGAAGGAAATCTATGACTTTGAAAACTCAGACTCTGCAAGTCATGAAAAGGTAAAGTCAAGACAGAAGCTGTGGGGAGATGCGCTAAGGTCACAGCTCAGCAGCTAACAGTATTAATTTGAAGCAGGAGATATCTTGGCAATAAGGATGGACATGCTGTTATAGCAAAACAGGCAATTGGGAATCTGAGGTTCTTGTTTTTCCTGTAGGGTGCTATACATGGAAATGTGTTTGTTTTTTTTTTTTTTTTTTTTTTTCAGGTAGGGAGAATGCTCATCACTACTTAAATATTGTGGCGTGTAGTGTATGACAAAACCAACTGCAACAAAAATTTGAGCTGGTGCTTGAGTGATGCTGTGGGATACCTTTGTGATTGAAGGCCAACATCTGCATTTTACTGAATATTTAAAGCAGATTGCTGAGTGTCCTTCTCTCTGCATTCCTAGGTTAAACCAGAAAGGGCTGAAATGCATCTTGAGCCACACTTTACACATCAGGAAACCCTGGTTAAAATCAGTCTTCACAAAACTTCTGTTGGAAGTTGTTTGACTTATATTCGCAGATTGTTGGAAAAAAAATCAAATAAAAATGAGCTGCTCTGCCTGCTTTGAAGCTTTGACCAGTGCAGTGTTTTCCCAGGAAGCTGAAAACTTGCTTCTGATGGCTTCCATCAAGGTGGCTCAACCGTACAAACCCTTTGGCTTTCAGACTCTTGCCCGGTGCGGGTGCTGTCCCTGCTGCCTGTTAATTCAGAGGCAATGGGTGCTGAACGATACACCCCAAATTTGTTGTAAACTGGACACCATCCCATCCTCGCTACTGCCACTGGGTGTCAGCAGAAAACCCTGCTCCACGGCACCAGGCCCCGTGGGACAGGGCTGTGGGGACACAGCTGGTCCTTGCAGCATGCATTTAACCAGTGTTCCTGCTTAAAATGACGTTTATTATGATGTTATTACTTAAAGTGAGAGTTATTCATAAAGCAAGGAAAAGAGAAAGGAACTCTGTTTAAGTCAACAAATGTTTGTCTGTTAAAATTTATGACACTCTTTCAAATCTCATTTCATTAAAAAGTTGAATTTCCCTGCTGGATTTTTAATTCCAATCCTTTAGCCCTTCTGAGTTCTGATATGTTTTATATTTATAGGTTATATTATGAGGTAATTGGACTATAAGACAAATATCTGGTTCTCTTTTAGGTTGCTGAAGCCAAAAGGAAGATTTTTGGCCAGAAAGATTCTTCACAAAATCAGAGGTATAGGATTATACACGTGCTATTTATGAACTTTTGCTCTGTGAAAGAAGAGTTCATTGCCTTAGTTAAGCTGGTTTAGGTTGGGATCAAAAAGTCTGTATGATGTTTCTATTAAAATAGTTCCTTGCTTAGCTGCCACAGTACCTGTGGATGTTATCAATACAAATATTTAAATAGTACCTGAGAATATAAAAGTTACTAGAGAGAACAATGACTTCTGTCCACTTGGACAATAATAAGACTTTTACTCTTAAACATCTCCCTTTCCTGATCACGTGCCTAAATTACTGATTTAATTTTTGAAAAATGCTAAAACTTTCTGCCTTTCCTTGGCCACTTCCATTTACAGCAAGCTGCCAGGGACTTGCCACCTGTATGTATGTAGCCTGATTTTGCTTTTAAAAGGTGCCAAATTTCAGATATCTCTGATTCAGATATCCCTTTCAGAAACCAACCAAAGACGAACTCTGCTAACGACTGCACAGGTCCTCCTGCTGATCTGTTCAGGAGCTCTGCCACTGCTATTTGGCTGTGCCCCTTCTGCACTGCTGTGATGTGCTATTGCAGCATCTGCTAGTCTAACTCGGGTCTTTATGGATTGCTTGGCAGGAATTACGAAACGGGAAACAAGAACAAGGATTCAAACAAGCTCAAGAGAAGGCGGGTAGGTTGTGTGTGCTTTGACTGCTGTGTGTATCCACCTGTACGAATTAGTTGCGCCCTTAAAGAGGCTGAAGTTTAAGGCTTATCCAGGATGGAGGTGGAGGAGCGTGAGTCTGGGAGTCTCAAAATGGCCCACTTGTTGCTACTGAGCGCACTGCTCAGGGGGCACCAGGACTGCCAGGCCAGTGAGCGAATGTCTGTGTTCATTTTTTCCTCACTGTCATCTAGGCTGCAACTTGGGCATGCTGAGGCTTTCCTCCTTGTGAGCTTTTATCTAGATGCAGGAGGGAAGGGTAGACGAGGGCAGAGGATGCTGTAAACCCCATGTTGGCAAAGGACAAGCATCTGCACCTTGGTGGTTTTATACTGCTGGTTTTTGACAACTAACTGTTGCTGTTTTAGCAGACTTTCACACCTTAAAATACTTCAGGTGTTGCACTGTGGGGGGGGAAGAAATGTAATAATTTGGTAGTAAATGAAGGGGAATGGTTGGGGGATTTCTGGGTGGCCAGGAGCTGACTGAGCAGGACTAACTCTTAATACTTTAGTCCAGTTACAGAAACCATCTTTTCTCTGAAAGCAACAGTGAAAATACAAGTACTGATCAGAGTGAAAAAAGCTGGATCCTTGAGCCTGAGAAACAGTCGTTGCCAAAATCTCTTGACTATGCCCGAAAAAGACCAGGGGTGAAAAGTAAATTAAAAGGTAAGTTTGGTCCCTTGTTGGCACTTAGCTATATGTGGCATTCTGTACTGCAGGTAAGGAAATGACTGATGCTAGTTTGAGTAGAAGGATTTAGCTGTGTCGTGAACTGAGTAGGAGAGAGCAGGCTCAAGGCCAGCAGTGAGGGGTGCCCTGTGGAGGAGGTGTGCTGTGCATCCTTGTGCTCAAAGAACTGGGCTCCCATCCCTTTTCCTCCAGTGAATGTGCTGGAGTTCAAATGTCCAGGTGGGAATTTGGCACCTGAATGTCTCTGTGGGTGCAGCTCTCTATGTAATGGAGCTGAAGAGGCCAGAGGTGCTGAGCTGATGGTTGGGTGGGTGCTTGTGAATACAAGAGGAGGAAGATCTCTCTGGAACTGCCACACCTCTTCCCTACAACTTTCCACTCCTCATCTCTCTGGAAATACAATTGACGTGGTGAATAAACCTTGAAAAAAATGGGTAGTTTGCAGACCATGGCGCCCTGCTCCCCTGTTTAAACACTGACAGGCCAATTGTCCTCAGAGTGATTTACAAAATCAGATGTGATTAATCTCTGATAGCATCCTCTGTTTGCACCTGACCAACACCAGATGTTCCCTGTGGCTGTGTTTCACGGCTGGGCTGGCTGCTGGGACCTCCAAATTCAAACTAAATTGCGCGGAAAGAGTTGGAATGTCTCTGTCCCTCTCATGGAGAATGAGCCTTGCTTAGGTAGCTATTGGTTTCCATAGGGATGAAAAAGCAAAAGAAAGTCGAGGGAGGAAATTATGCTTTATAGTATGCTTCTGTGGGAAGAGTTGTTCTCGTTCCAGTGCCAGCCCATGCACCCCAGCCTAGGGCTTGGGGACCATCAAACAAACTGCTGAGCCTGCTCCTTTTCTGGCAGCTACTCGGGATGCAGCGAGTTGCATCCATTTTTTTCATCATTTAGCAGCTTTTGTTAGAAAGGAGTTTTGAAGCCTAATGCAAGTGTTGTGAAATTTTCTTTTGTAAATACTAAGAGAACCAAACTAAAAACTGGATTATTTAGCTGTGACACAAACCTTAACTGGGTAAGGCATGCAGTAATGTCAATAACCAGGTAAGCTTTTCTCCTTGCAGTGCTTCCAGTGTCTTCTACAAGTAGTGGCAGTGACTACCAGCCAAACAAGGTAAGGAGGTGTCATGCTTAGATGCCTCAGATTTAAAAACATTATGTATGCAAAATGTATACAAATGAGTAGGAATTAAAGATCACACCAGTTTATTTCTTTTCAAGTGTTCTGGTGGACAAATTTTCCTGCTCAGGTGTTGCTGAGCCTGTGTTGGTCTGCTAGAAGCTGGGGAAATAGGGAAGTCTTAGGAAGACATGTGAAACTTTATAGAAACAACTGTGCATGAGCCCTAAGCAAGTTGTCATAAAACTGTAATATTTACCTGTGATAGATGGAAAATTGGGCCGGAGTTGGCATGCTTGGTGTGATACCTGCCTTGGCTGATGCAGGTGTCACTCTGAGGGATGAGTTCAGCCCTTGGGGCATGCCAAGAGCTGGAGCTGCCTATCCAAATACCTGCAGAAATCCTAGCTGGGTCCTGCCAGGCTGTGTCCCCATGCTGTCCTCTGCCCTGTACCCTGTGGTGCCTTGGGAAAGCTCATGTTCACCTCTGCATTTTGTTGGTAATTTTCAGGGCTTTTATTCCAAATCCTATGCTTGTGCTTAGTCCTAGTTCAGGCACTGTCCCTCTCCACTTTTAGCTATAGGTCTGGGAATACTAACCATGGATTATATTGATGGGGGAGTTAGTGGGCCAGACATACATGAAGCAAAATAAAATACAGTTTAGCAATGCCAGGCGTTTCCACTGCCCAGCCATTAAATGCTGTGTAGAAAATGTTCTGGAGGGATCCCTGCATAATTACAGAAAGTTTGGCAAAAAAAAAAAATCTCCAGAACTGCTAGTTGCATTAAAAGCTCTTATTTCCTCTGGAAACCTTTCATTTTTCTTTTCCTTGACTAAAAGGCTTTCATTCTGCTAATGAAAACTTCATCCACTATACAACTCTAATTGCTAAAAGGATAGATAACTTGCATATGCATTGAACTTCACAGCACAGATCTCCTTCAGTGTTGGAACACCAGTATGTTAGGCATATTTCAGTGCCCTTAGTGTGTTTAAAATCAACCAAACACCCCCAACAAAAAAAAAAAAATCCAAACCAACCCAAAATCCTACTTTTGTAGTAATAATTAAATAAAATATGTGCTTAGACTTGGTTTTGTTTTGGCAGGGAGCATCAACGAAAAGAGCCCAAAAGAGGATTATAGGGAAAAAAGGCTTCAATGAAGACAATTTACTTGGAGTGGATCTTTCTGGTATTTCTTTTTAATCATCTTCAGTGCCTTTTGTTTTGATATCGGTTGTTTTGATATGTGTGTGTGCTTTTTGGGTGTGTTTTTTTGTTTTGTTTTTTTTTTTTTTTTAATTTTGCTTTCACATTTTCTTCATAAGCATATTGCCTTGTGATATTTCTTGTAATGGCTATGAGGGATGGATATTGTTTGTAGTCTCTTGAGTAGGGAGAACATTAACTGGGGCTAATGAGAGGTGAGGGAATGAACTTAACTGGCAGCCAGAAATGAAACAGCCTTTGGGCTGAATTTGAGCCACTGTCTGTTCCTTGTGTGAAGAGATAAAGGAGAGGGCGGTGGTTTCTTTTTTTGTCTATGTCATTAAATTGAGGTTCCGAGTCAATACAGGATTCAACCTCTCTTGCCTGTGTCTGGCTGATCTCTCACACAGATGAAGTGCTCTCGGAGCAAGAAGGGGGTCTGCTATCACTTGATGTGTCTGCCAAGGGCTCTTCCAGGGATGAGGAGGCGGCCACGCAGGTGCAGTATGCAGCCCTTAAACTCCTCCTAACCTGCTGTCAGTAGACTTTTCACCGAAAACCAGTGCATCGTGTCACTTTGCTTCCTATGACTAGATGAGTCCCTGACATCCACCCCGCACTGCAGACAAGCTACCTTACTCTGTTTTCCTTCTCTCCTTAGAATTTTCACGATGCATCTGACACACTGTCGAGAGAAAAAGAAAGTTTTAAGCGGAAGGACTCAGGTTTGTTAGTTTCAATAATATGGAAGAGTTGTTTAAAAGTAGAAGGGGGTGTTGTGAAAATTGTAGTTTTCTTTCAAAAACAAATAAGCACTGAGTTTTTGAGATACTTTTTGCATAAGAAAGACCTTCTATTTCTGTTTTGTATATCGTGACTGACTATGGTGAGGTGCTTTTATATACATTCCTGAACTCACCAATAACTCTTAAATCTTGTCTTTGTTCCCAGGGGAGCTCATAGTGTAGCTATTAAGAGCAGGGGATTTACAAACTAGTGACTCGAGACACATGAAAACTAATTTTTAATGATTTGAAAATACAGTGCAACTTCAGTTTTAAAAAAACAAGCATCCCTGAAAGTTGTCAACTTTCTTTATACCTAAGAATATAGAGTAGACCCTCATTATAAGCATTTGGTAAATGGTGACTTGTGCTGATGCTTGTTACTGCTGTAGCATTTTTTGGGGTAAGTGGCACTTAGAGACTTTTTAATGAAACTGAACTTGCATAAACTATTTCAGAACTTCAACACAGTCTCTTTGTGATTGGAAACAACTGAACTTCAAGAAAGTCAAGCAGCAATGGGCTAATCTTCATCCTAATATTCTTGATGCTGATGTAGTTCTGAGAGACTGTCTTAAAGTCATTGTTGTGACTATGAACCAAGTCACTGAAGCTTTGGTCTTGGACAAAAGCATCTCCTTTCTTATGAGCTGGCTATGTTCATGTTCCCAATGTGTCTTACCTGTCCAGAATTTGCAGAATACCTTCACTGCACCCACACATCTGCCTAATTTTAGGGGAAGATAAGTGCTTAAGGACTTAATTTTTATCTCTGTTTACTGTACAGTCTTACAGTTGGGAGACGAGTTGATACCATGCAGAGGCGTAAGTGGTGTTGTGTTCAGGAATGTCAGGTGTGATCTGTGACTGCATCTGGACTCTTGCTCTGTGACCCCTAAATCTATTTCAGTGTGATCCTTGTGGTCCAACTGTCGTCCTTGTCCTGGGCTCCACCACCTTCCTGCTTTATGCCCTATAGAGATTCCAGAGAGGCAGTTGGTCACAGGCACCTTACTGAGCTCTGAAAAGTGGACAGTGAGACAAAAGGATGATTTTGAGACAAAAGGATGATTTTTTTTTTTTTGAAAGTTTTCCTTGAAATACAGGCTGCAGCCTCCCTCACAGTGTTCCTAAGGGTTTTCTTCAGTTAAAAGCAATTGTACGGCAACCCTAGTGAAGCTGCAGAAAAGGCTGTTATCAGTGTGGTTAATTTTTCTCCCTCTTCTGTATTTATGCATTTTTTTTTTTTTTTAAGGAACAGCTGAAATTTGCTTAGGAACAAATGAGCATAAACAGATTGGAAGCTTGGGTTGGAAAAGAAAATGGGAAGAAACTGGACAAGAAGTATTTTTTTTATGGTTAGACTAGTAGGTCAATAAATTAAGTTGTCTTTAAAGTAGAGATATGGTAGCTTTCTACTTACCTGCATAGCACCAGTTAGTCTAGTTGTCTGCTTTTGTAAGGGAAGAGACTTGCTGGTGCAGGCTTATCCTGTCCTGTAAGTGTGATGTCAGACCCTAAAATTAAGTTGCCTGCCTTTCTGTGGCATTTCTAATTCCAGTGATGGTTTCAGCTTGAGTAGCTGGTAGGTACTGCCACGTACCTCATGCAAAAGAACAGGTATTTTCTGAAACATCTTCTGTTCTCTTTATAGATATATTAAGTGGCACTGTCGTAAAAAAGCTTAAATTTTCCAGCTGGGAAACAAGTCATTTGTCCTCTGCTTCCCATAAGCCAAGGAAACTTTTTGATTCAGTAGAGAAGGAAGCGGAGATCCAAACAGGTAAAGCCAGGTTGGCAATCAAGGTGAAATATTTAAATGCTTTGATTTTTTTTTTTTTTTTTGATGGTAGAAATCAGTCATATGGAAGCTTCAAGAGTGGTATCTGTAAGGAAGATATCTTCTCCAGAAGTCAAAATGTAGCAAAAGGAGTGTATTGTGGCACTGCTATTGGGTATCATGTATGTAGAAGTGTGAATAAGGAAATTTGGGTTCCCTAACCACAGTCCACTTGGGAAGACATTCAGTGATGTCTGCATTTTCTTGTCTTTCTAATAGTGATTGTCCAGACCTATTAGAAAAAACAAAAACAAAAACCACAAACTGAAAAAAACCATGCAGATAAGGGACAAAGTAACTGCAAAACACTACTGACCCTGAACAGAAGGGGGTTAGGTTTTCTTGTAATGAATAAGTAGAAGACAGGAAAACAATGGCCTGCCTTTATTTTTTTTTTTCCCTTCCCTCCCGCCCCCCCCCTCCTTGTGCTGTGCTTTTGCCTCATTATCTCTGTGTTGCTCTTTGTGTTTGGTTAGTGTTGTGCCTTTTCCTCCATGCTGCTTTCTAACAAGTCTTTCTCGATGCATTTTGGGGCAGTTTGCCTCCTACTTGTGAGGTCTAGAAGAGCAAGACTCAAATGCTACTCTAACAAATGGTGTTCACATGAATGATGAACCCTTCAGTAGCAGGAAGGTTTCTATTCCAGTAAGCCCTCCAGCATGGTACTAACTGGGCATACGCTCTCTCCTAGGTCAGGAAATGGATGATAGTGTGGATGATGAAGTTTTTTCCAAGTTGCTGCATGAGGACTTCAGTGATACTCTGTTGATTACTGCATTTGAAAGCTTGATTGACCGACTAAAGAAATGGTTCTGGGTAATGTGCATTCTCAACTTAGGCGCTGTGTGGCATTTTCTCATAGTATGTGAAATTACCTTTGTATCACCAGGGGAGTTGGTGCAAATATCCCATCTTTATTTTGTGCTCAGGAGTAGGGTTTGGACTGCAGTGTCTGTTAGCCTGGAGCTCTTAGAAGCATTCTGCACGACCTGTATAGTCAGAGAAGTGTTACAGCAAAGGCATAAAGGAAGTTGCAATTAGGTCTTTCCTTTTTTTATCTTATATGTTGGAATATCAAATTTGGTTAGGCATTTCAGATACTTTCCTCAGAGGGATGGGGTCAAAGCTTTTTGAAAGGTAACCCAGTGTAGTGACAGTGTATCTACCTTGGAACTGTGGGCCATTGTCCTCATGGGCATGTATAAAAAAATACAGAAACTCCCTTTTGGAGCACAGAGAAGTTTCATTGCAGTGTAAGACTATGCAACTCTTTGATAATGATAAACAGGAAGCATTACAGGCTGCACCTATTGACTAGAACATGTGTAGATCCATAAGGACATGCTTTTATCTTTGAGCTTAATGGTATGTGGAAGTGTTGGTTGTGCAATTGGTAGTATATGCGCTGCGTATTCTTGTTCACTGAACTGTATAGACATACTTGAGATGCAGTGCGAGCAACCAACTGCTACTGTTGATTTAGCTATAACAAGTAATGTGGGCATTAAACCATTAAACCAAGTTTAATATGAGAGGACAGTATCTGACCATCACAAAATCTTTTCGTGTTTAAAAGCTTTGAACAAACCAGACACAGCAGAGCAGACTCGTACTGGATCAGCACTTTGTATTGTGCAACCATGATTTTTTTTTTTTAACTAGTGCTAGGTGTTCATACTAAACTTTTGGCACTAAATCCTTGAATCAAGGCTGGAGATGGTTGTATTTAAAAATCAGTTACGATTAAAATGCGCATGGTTTGTATTAATACTGATCTGAAGGGGTGCTAACAAAGACCTGGTTGTGTGTTGGAGTATGGGTGAAGCTCACTGCTTTGCTGGCTGGATCACATGACCCTGACCTGAAGTCACGTGGGTTACAGAGAGGTGGTTGCTATAACTAGCGTGGCTGAATTAAATTTGCAGTACCCAGCCTAGATGTCATATTAGTCTAAATTTGACTTAAGATGGCTTCCACTAAGCTGAAACAGCAGGCTGCAGAGGGATTTGCATTCCAGGGAAATCTTTTGCAAGCTAGACTTCTAGGTTTAGGGTTGGGACATTGCCCATCCCTAACAGTGCATCCTGTGACTAGTCCCGGTACAAAAGGATGGAGACCGGCATACAGAATGCCCTGAGGACTTCGGAGAAGAGTTTCACTACCCTGCTGAACCAGATACACAAGTGCAGGTAAATTGTCTGCTGTTGGCTGAAGACAGCTTCAACTTTGTGTAAATTTTGATTAATGTGAAAAGGAATGACTCTTTATAAGCCAAGCTGACAGTAAGCTATTGCATTTATTATGATTTGTAAGGCAAAATAAATTGTGTGTGTGTCTTGCTTTTCTGTCAGAACCATAGCGCCTGTGATGATGTATCCTGCTTTTCCTGTGACAGGAGAGTGGGTGGTTTAATTAGTGCAAAGCAAGCTTGAGTTAGGAGCAGCTGATGAAGCAGTCCTTAGATTGTCTTCTGATTGTCATCAACGTTCAAAAATGTTTATAAACTCTCTTCTTACACTTAGTAGCTTCTGTTGCTACATCTTTTAAGAAAGAAGCCAGGCTCTGATTTGCTTAATGAAGTGGGAGAGAAGAAAAGTAAGGGGGAAGGGAGTCTGATATAGACCCATTTCTGTAGATTGTTTCCATGTGCACAAAATAAGTACAAGTAGTGGACTTTACAGGTGCTCAACAGATGCAGCTTTAAGAAGGTCCTGTGCATTACAGGTTGTCAAATTTCTCAGATAGGAGCTAGATAAATCACTTACAGTTATAGATTTGTTAGTGAAGAACAAGTATAGCCTAAAATATGAGTAAGTCTATTAGGCCTCTGTATCTATTAGACATTCAGTTTGCAGGATTTAGGTCTAATGCAGTATGAAATAGTAGCCTTTAAAGTGCAAAATCCCTGTTGTCAGTAGGATCTGTATGAACAGAATTTACTTGTTGTTAAGGTACATGGAGAAATTTGTGTTCCAAAAACAAAATCAGAGGATGTTTTGGGGTAGGATATAAGAGTAGACGGTGATGAGCTGCTGCCATGCTTTGTTATTAATTGTGTAACTTGGAGCCAACCAGAGCTACCGGATAGTGGGGACAGAGCAGTGTCAAATTAGTCCTACCCCAGAAGGGTAGTTTCTATAATCACCATTAGGTGATGGCTTGGCATCCCACTGGCAGGGAAAGGTAGCAAACCCAAGCGAATAAAGGTGTTGATGGTTAAGGTTTAGAAATTGCTGGGATTGTGCGGCAACACCATGTATGTATATTAAACCCATGGTAGAAAAACTCATTATTTGTGCCAAGATGCTGTCTTCAGCTTGGGAAATCTTTGCTGAAATCCCTGGAGGCTGGGAAAGTATGTAGGGCAAGTGTTGCACTGGGAACCCTGTTGTATGCTCTTTCCTTGGCCTCCGTTACTGGCTGCTCTTTGAGACAGGCTATGTAGCTAAACTCATCTTCAGTTTGACTTAGTACAGCTATTCATGTGCTCTGTGACATACCTGAGAACAAAACTGACCCATGTAGTTCAGCAAGGACACTTGCTTCTGCCTAAAAGCAGGTTTGGTGCTGAAGGGGTTGTCATCTCTTTTGTGCCTACTGCACATTGAAGTGTCAAACCTGTTTCTGTTCTCCATCACTAGGTTGAGTAAGCTGGAGACCTTCTACAAGATCGTTGTTGAAGAGCTTGCTGGTCTTGAGAAGGAAGCTCAGGTCTTGACAGAAATGGAAAAGGATGCAGTGGTGTGTATGACCACTTATGCGTCAGCCCATGGAGGTACCCCTTCCCAAGTAATGGGGTTTTCTTTGGGGCTCTTTTTAGGACTATTGGAACACACAGTTGATCAAACTGAATGCTTTCTGCAACCAGCAAACACAAAGGTATGTCTCTACCATCTGTTCTGCATGCTTACGAGTCCTCTGATGGTCAAAGAGGGTACTAGTTAGGCTGGTGGTACCCTTGCTGATATATTGGGAAGTATTCTGAACCCAGTGTGGCTTCTCCACTTGATGTCCATTGATGGAGCCTTTGCAGCTTCATGAGGGTTTTGAATTGGGACTAAGGTGTAGTTAGGGACACTCTGCATGAGAAATTGTGCAGGACAGGCACATCCTTCAAGAGACCTGTACTAGGATCTGGAACAAGGTGCACCTTCTGGTCATGACTGTATCTAGGGGTCGGAGGAGGTAGAAGGAGGTGATGATTTCCTATGTAAAAGATACTGTTAGTGCAACTGCTGAGCAAAAAACTGCAAAAGGAGGAATCCTCAGGTTCATTTTTATCAGTAAATATATCTGTTCAAATTTTATCAGTAAGTACTAACACTTCACAGAAACTAGCCAAGCTCACTTTTCTTCCAGAATTCAGTCTGACTCGGCCCTGGGTGAAACAGCAACTTTTGCTGACACTGTCCAGAAGTCAACGGGGTATGTGCAGTACTCAAGCAGCTCTGTACGGTATGATGCATGGGGCTGTTTTTTTCTGGGGCCCCCAGTTCTAATGCATGGAAAGCATTGAGAAAGCAGTGTGTGACCTGCTAGGGATTCGGGCAAGTGGTCAAAAATCACTTGCCTGAGGGAGAAGGTAAGGACATGGACGGTCGGGTAGTGATGCTTCTCCTGGGTTCATATTTCAGGGATTCCTTTATGCTGAGGCTGGTTTTTATGTAGTTGGTGACTCTTAATGCAGTTCTCTTCTGTTGCTTTGTCCCACTTGCCCTTGGAGTTGTGTTTGTGACATCCTGTGGCTAGGAGCCCTGCAGACTAACACCACCTTGCATGTTTTCTGTCATCTGCTTTTTGGATCTGGCAATGTCTAGTCTTGATGCCTCCAAGTTTGATTTCTGAAAACCAAATTTATTTATTTACCTTGTATCGCATTAAAATATTTTAAGTTCTTAAACTCTTCGGAGTCTAATCACTAACATAAGCCCTCTTTTTAATCTATAAATTAAGATGAATGCTCTAACTTTGATACATTGCTTAGCATCCATCTTGTCCACCCCCATCACGTGTGCATGTATTTTTGATACTGCTGCTGTTGCAGCTTTTACGTGCAGACCTGATGGCTTTTGGGGCTTAACATTCCTGCATTAAGACTGATGGATTGCTATGATGTGTACAATACCATGTGTCTGCAGTGCACAGAGCTGAAGAAAGGTCCATGTGCTGAGGATCTCTACAGTTTCTTTTCTTGTGCAATAGAAACATTTGTGTAAACTATTGTAATGTTTTTCATTATCTTTTTTTTCCTTCCCTGCAGTATGAACACTCAGTGAAGAAGGCAGTAGAAAACAATGTGTTCATTGTTGCTTCTGACTAACAAACCCCTGAAATCCTTAGAGCTCTTAACATTTGAGCACCTTATGCAGCATAGAGAAGATGGTCCTGTGAAGGATGGTAATCTATTTTAAATGGAAAGAAAAAAAAGGGAAAGAAAAAAGCAATGATATTGAGCCTTTTTTTTTTTTCTTAAAGAATATATGCTGCTGAGTGATCTGGTTGTGACCCCTGTGTTGATAACATACATTTTTTTTTTCTGCAAAATTGCAAGATGGATCCATTAAATACCAAAGAAATAGAAAATAAACTAAACAGATGGATGCATGTACAGGCTTTGAATATTCTGCTCAAAGATATTACCTTTATCAAATGTAAAAGCATTTAATGATTGATTCAGAGTAAAACATTGTTTGCACAGGATAAAAATCTCCTTCTTTCTTTTGAATTGATGCCCTGTGCATGCCTGTGGAAAGGTACTCCAGAGTCCTGCATACTCTGCATGGGGTATGTTAGGGGTAGCCTTTCTTCTGTGCATCCAGCACTGTGGGAACTGCTGGCTTGAAACCAGAGCTGCTCAATTCTGGTTTGCAGAGAGAAAAGCACAGAGGGATATACTGGATATTGGCCAGATACTTGATGGCAAACTGGAGTCTCTGGAGGGAAAGAGTCTTGGAGCATTGCAGAGAGAATGGCAAGTGAAGCTGGAGAAATTATTTTTCAAACCAGTGACTGTTGGCTTCTAGGAGAGTTCAAAGTACAGTGAATGATGTTAAGATTAGATAAACTAGCATTAGATAAACAAAGGTCTGTTGAAAGCAAGTCGCAGATAAACAGTGCTCTTTAACATCATGTTCTGCTTTGACGGAATTCCTTAAATCACGGTTTCTCTTCACACGCAGCCTTTAATGCTGTGGCAGACTTCACACGTGCTAGTGCATCTTAATGAATTTGTGGGAATATGGCATGTTTCCAAGCTCTGTCTTTCTCTCTGCTTATCTTATAAAACTGACCTCCTGATTGCTGTGTGGGTTGGGGTGGAGGGAATCATTCCCTGCACACTATGTACCTTTGTGACAAAAGCCCACTTCTTCCAGGGTTTGTTTCACCACTGAATGTATTTTGGGGAGCTGGAAGTGTTCCTTCTTGAGAAGGTCATGTAGGGTAGTGCAACAATGAGAAGTTGTTGTTGCCATCACATAATTGCTTTAGTTTAAGAAGTCCTGACTAGAGTTGACATGAGTCAGGATTCCACCTTCATCCATGTCAAGGGGTGGTTGTCTCTCCTTCTGGGCTGGTTTAAAAGACAAGACCTTTTCATGCCTGCCACATCTGTTAGTTTACTCTTCCCTGTTTGCTGTGTGAAGGGCTGAAGCTGAGATTTTTTGCATCCACCACTTTGCACTTATTCCTTTGAGGGCTGGCCCTGGTGACCTGACTATGCTGCCTCTTCCTGCTGCTCTTCAGTGTTTTTCTAGCTCTGGTTTGAATCCAGTCTCTCAAAGCCCTCAGCAAAGTGACTGTCTATAGGAGATGAGCTCCTCAGAGGTTACAGCTTCTGCTTGTGCCTTGTAAAGCCGTTTAGTTTTGCAGCCCAGGAGCAGAGTTTTCAGCGTGCTTTTTGTACCCCTGGTGTGGTGGTAGGCTGTGGTGTTGGTTTGAGCCCAGAGGGCAACTGAGGACCATGCAGCTGCTTGCTCACTCCTTCCCCCTTTGGAAGGGGAAAATACAACAAAAGGCTTAGGACTTGAGATAAGGATGGAAAGGGGTGACTAACCCATTATGGTCATGGGCAAAAGACTGACTTGATAGGGGAATAAAAAGAATATCACTTTACTTCAAACACCAACAATACTGAACAAAACAGAGCAGGGCTGTGAGAAGTATAACAACATTTTAAAAACACATTCCCACCACGCCTCCCTTCTTCCTGGTCTCAGCTTTTTTCCTGTTAGCTCTACCCATGGCACGGGGAGCAGGGGATGGGTGTTGCAGTCAGTCCTTCTGGGGGAGGATTCCTCATACTATTTTCCTGCTCCAGCATGGGGTCTCTTGCCTGGCAGACAGTCCCTCACAAACTTTCTCTAACATAAGTCCTTTCCTAAGCTGCTCCATGGTGGGTCCCTTCTATGGGCTGTAGCTCTTCCTGAGCTCTGGCGTGTGTCCCTCCTGCCCTGTCCTAGTCCTCCCAGGGCTGAACTACAACACTGGGGGCTTTCCACAGGGTCCTGGCCTTCTTTGGGAGCAGACACCTGGTCTGCATGGGGTCATCCCCAGGCTGCAGGTCAGCATCTGTTCCACCAAGGACCTTCATGGGCTGCAGGGGGACAGCCTGCCCTCTTACCATGAAGTATCTTCTCCAGAAAACCTCCTTTCCCCTCTCTCCCCCGTTTCATTCTTCCATTGACCTTGGTGTTTGTATAGGTATCTTCCTCACCACTCCAATTTTTCCTCCTGCGTTCCTCCTCTTAAATATGTTATCACAGAGGCACAACCACCCTTGCTAATTGGCTTGGCCTTGGCCAGAGATGGGTCTGACCTGGAGTCAGGCAGCTTTGAAAAGCTTCTCCCAGGGGCCACTGCTGTCACCCCCCTCCCCTGCTGCCAAGCCAGGCCGTGCCCCTCCCTGCCAGTAGTTCCTGGATATATGCATACATCCCACGATTTTATTCCCCAAGACCTGGCCAAAAGTGATGGGTATAACCAGGCCTAACAAGGTGCTTGATGTGAAGTAGAGCTAAGAATTGAGAGGAGATTTCTACACTGTGGCTGCTCTTGTATACCAAGTTTTGTAGAGCCACAGAAACAGTGTTAGTAACCTGCATCCTCGAGGCATGTATCATCTCTCTTGGGGTGGGTGTTGCCTTGGCTGGTTTAAGCTTGCTCACCTGCATCTCCAAGGAGCTTACTGCCCGAAGGGAATGCTTGAAATGGAGAGTGAGGTGTGACAGCTCTCTCCACTTTAAGGACATTTTTTTTTTTTTTTTTTTTTTTTTTAATTTTTACACTTTTTTTTTTAAGCTATGACAGTAATGGTTGATCTTTTGTTTCTGAGATGATTGATGGCCTCATTGCTTTCTAAGTTAGAGCTGCTAGGCATTTAAGCTTTGTCAGCACAATGGAGTAGATGTGTAGCAAGTCCTGTTTCTCTATATTTCCCCACCTTTCATGTATGTTGGCAGAATGCTCTCTTGGTGTCTCCAGCAACTAAAAAATTGAGAATGTTTTTCATCCAGGTATCTTTGCTAGATAATTTACAAAAACAGGACTGATGCATGCAGTATATCTTACTGTTGAATCTCTGTGTAACTTGTCACTACGAAGCATGGAGGGTGACTGTTGAGCACTTCAGAGGGCACAGATAAAGGAGAAATCCTTATTAAAAATTATCATAATGTTGGATGCACCTACACTTGCTTTTAACTGTTTTATTGGAAAAGTCTGAACCCTAAAAATCTGCTTTTAGTGATAGGTATGGGAGAGCAGAAAGGGATACTGTACAGCTCAGATGTCTTCTACTCCTGCACTTCTTTTTCTATCCTTTCATATATAAGGCTTTACCTTTTGAGAAGAAAAGTGAGTTCTAGCTTGGTAACCTGTGGACTGCCCAAGTTGGGCGGACATGCTCAAAGTTTTGGTCTTTCCTTATCGTCTTTTCATCTGTAGTCATGTCGTGGTTTAGGCCTGATTGACAGCCAACCACAATGCAGCAGCTCTCTCTCCCTTCCCCTCCGGCAATGAGAAGGGACAGAGAGCCAGGCTTGGGGTTCAAGATAGGACTGGGATGGGGGAAAACCCCCCTTTTATGATCATGAGCAAAAGGCAGACTCGTTAGGGGAAGAAAAAAAAGAACATACATTTATTACAGACACTAACAACACATAACAGAGTAGGACAGTGAGAAGCATTGCCACATCTTGAGAACACCTTCCCCCCACCCCTCCCTCCTTCCCGGGCTCAGCTCTGCTCCCGATATCTCTACCTCCTCCCCCAGTGGCGCAGGGGCAGGGAATGGGGGGTGCAGTCAGTGCTGCCACTTCCTTCATCTTCGGTGAGGGGAGTGTCCAAAACTTGTTACCCCCTGCTCCATCGTGGTCCCCCTCTCACAGCAGACAGTCCTCCACAAACTTTCTCTGACTTGAATTCCTCCCATGGGCGCAGCGTTCCCCACACTGCTCCGTCATGGGTCACTAACTTCCTCCGACTGGATTCTCTCCCACGGCTGCAGCCCTTCCCGAGCTGCTCCGGCGTGGGACTCCCCCGCATGCTGCAATCCTCACAGTGCTGAATTACAGCAGCGGGGCTGCCTTTTCCCATGAGACCCCGGCCTTCTTCGGGCACAGAACCTTGATTATCCAAGCAGGAACAACAGGCTGTAAATCAATGTCTGCTCCACCGTAGATCTCCATGGGTGGCAGGGGGGGCTGCCCTGCCGTCTCACCACAGGATACAGGGGGTCTCTGCTCCGGCACACCTCCCCCCTCCTTTCTTCCTCCGTTCCTCCACTGACCTTGGTGTTCATGCAGCTGCAGCAACTCCTCCTCACCAGTCCCACTGCCCGTCACCACGTCCCTTCTTAAATACGTTATCACAGAGGCGCAGCCAATTGGCTCAATTTCCCAAACAGAAGTGGAGCTGACTTGGAGCTGGGGGAGCTTCGAGAAGCTTCTCACAGGGGGCCGCCCCGATAGCCCCCTCCCTTGCCACCAAAAAACTCCACCACTCACTCAACCCAGGACAAGTCAGTAGCAGTTGTGTTTGGAGACAGAATCTGGAGCAGGAATTACTTTTTCTCATCTTGGACAGCCCGTCTCATACCACTTCCTGCTCTGTTGGGCCAGTTCAGCACGTTTGAGCTGAGACCCCCTGATGGTCTTAAGACCATCTGGCTTCTACAGATGATACCTTGGCAACACAGATCTGTAACTGGGTTACCTGAACATTTCCTTTTGGAAGGTAGGTAGTTGACCTTGGCGGGTTTCCTTTGCCTGTTCACTTACACTCTTTTAAGTGTTATTTATCCAATTATTTATTTTATTTTCTTCCTTTCAGTGCAAATAGATAAAGCTCAATTTTCAACCTGTTCTTCTGATCCAGAACAGCAAAGATGATGTGAGTGCTGAAGTGCAAAAACCATGCATCAGTACCCAGAAAAAGAAAGGGGAAGTACAAAGTTCAGATTAAGGACAACTGCTTCATGCATTTTAAGCTCTTAACCAGTTTAATATTAAACCCTGTTATAACCTCCACTATCTTTATGCCATATCTCTTTCAGGGAATGATGCTGTGCCAAGTGTTTGTTTACCTACATGTTCTGTATCAATGCAATTGTCCATCCAAGGCCTAGAGGGCCACTGTTACCTAGTGGCAAGGCTACACGAAGGCTGCACAATGCCAGTGAAAAGGCTGTCCTCTGTGGTTGGAAATGGGTAGAGTGACCAGAGGAACTGTGTTTGTGTTTGCCCTGACCTGGGATTGGCTCGCCCTGCTCTCAGTAAGGTGTGCTGGGACAGGTCCTCCTTCTCCAAATGGTAAGACTGTGTCTTAAAGTGGTGCACTGCAAAATAGACATGTTTCCAGCAATGGCTGAGAGCTATTGTATATTGGAACAAAGCACTGCCAGAGAGCCTTTCCTGGTCTTATATTACAGGGTGGTTTTTGTTTATCTTGAGCAAGAATTGAGAAAACATTACTTATAGCCAGACTGTGAGAAAAGCCCTGTAAACTTGAGCCTTGGCACACATCAGCAGCCTGACTTCTTTAATTCAAGTGTTCCTAGAAGGTCTTTAGTAAGGCTTATTCATTCCTTGGGAAGCTACTAACATCCAAAACCAGTGAATCAAATTCAATAGTTTTCTTTTCTGCTTTACTTCCCTGTCCTACCACACATACCCTCTGGTGAGCCCAAAACAGCAGGGTCAGGTATTTGTATGTCTCCTCCCTGTGTTTGCATTTTCAATCCAAAAGAAATTACATTTTTGAGATTAATTTCTCTGTTGTCTCTTATCTCATTTTTCTACCTCCAGATCCCAACTGAAAACTATCTGGGAATAAAAGGATGACTTGATGGGTAAGTACAAGCTTTGAACAGCATTATCTTTGTTCAAAAGCCAAGTTTTTTTGGGTAGTGGGGCTGTGTATGCAGAGCTTAAGAGATCCCAGCAACAGTACTGTGCAATATGAAAAAATTGCTAATTGGCTTGGTATTTTGGTCCAGTTTAAGTCAGAAAAGATGCCATGTGTATAGCATTTTGGTGGGCACCATATCTAAGTCTAGAGACTGCAAATTGGCCAGAGGTGGGAGTGTTAGTTAAACATTGTTCCCCAAACTCCGGTATCTTGTTGGAACAGCCCTTGTTTTTAACAATTATGACTCCTTGTATAGTGCTAACTAGTTAGGCATAAGGTTGTGGAACTACCCTTCTTGTGCCTCAGCTTCTGATCTTGCAGCCTTTACAAAACTGCTAGATATCAGCCTGACTTACCTGAAGGAGCAGTTGTACCTTGCAGCCCACTGCAGTGGCACAGATGTTTTATGATGAGTGTCTTATTTCACAGTAAATGAATAGGAAGTAGTTTTGAATCTTGTCCTGGTGTATATTTGGCTGCTTCAGCTTTCATTTACAAACAAAGTAACTAAGTGCTTCTGGACCTGTGTTTCATGCTGGATAACTGTGGCTGAAGGAAACTTAAAGCTGCAGTATCTGGTCCTTGCATCAATCCACAATCTCTGCTTGGCTGATGCTGACACCTAGCCAAGGGACTCATCTACCAGAGTCTTTAGGCTCGCTGTGGGTATGAGCACCTTCCCTAGACATGGGTGCTCTGTAAGACAGAGAGGAGCTGCTGACAGCATAAAGCTTGTTGTGTCCATTCAGGTGAAACAACAGTGCCCTGAAAACGCGTTAGGAAGGTGTTTGGTACTGTCCTCATATTTGCAGTATTGCCAGATGAGCTTAATAAAACACAGTGATTTTTTTTTTTCCATACAAAAATTTTTTCCTTAATGAATGCAGGCAGTCGTGTAGTTGTGGGTTTGTCTTTTGGGCTGGATGAGGTGCTTCCTCCTCTCCTATTCCTCTGGAGTGGTCCAGGCATGCTGCCAAGTGAAAACATGCCTGACAAACTTCATTTTCAGCTGATAGGATGCGGAAATTGCTTCTAAACATAGCACAAGAAGAAAGAGGGTGCATGAGAGGAGGAAAAAAATCACACAACTATTTACATATTGGCAATTTGGAGTCAAATAGAGAGAGATTGCTGCTTTCTGTGAATGTGGCTCAAAGTGCCCTCCGAACACATAGTTTCTGGAATCCCTGTATGTTTAGGTGTGATGCTCTTTGCCACCATCAGCTGGTACAGTTCTCTCTTTCCAAGAGTAGCACCATTTTTTTCCACCCGTGGTGCTAGACACCCATCTCTGCATGATAGCAACCAGTACAGGGCTTTACAGCAGCACTCAGAACTGCTGTAGCGATGCTTGAGGTTGCTTCTCTTGCAGTTCAACCACTGTAAAAACAATGTACTCGCCCATTTGTGAGTGAGCATGGTAGCCACAGAGCATCTCCGCTTTAACATTTTCCATTTCAGTATCTTAACGCTTTCCAAGTTTCCCTTCATGGCCGTGGGTACCAAGGATTCCTCTGCACATGGTTTCTGCATTTCATGGACAGGAAGTTATTGGCAAGTTGAGGTTGAACAGCTCAATCCAGAAATGTTTTTTCATTGGGATCCTCTTCATGAAGGAGCAGGATGCTGTATGATGCCTTTATTTTTCTTGCAGTCCAAGTGATTAGCTCACTCACGTGACATGTAGAGAAACCTGGTTTTCATTTTCTTTTCTAGTGAAACAAACTAAACCCCATATTGCTTATCTTTCAGGGCAGTGGCTGACTACTAGTATATGAGCTACTCAGGTGCAGCCTGCTGTTAAACAACTCTATTTGCATTTCCACGGAGCACCTAATCTTCAGGCTCAAATAACATAAATCCAAGAAAAACGTCTTGGAAATGGGAAGCTGTGGGTTCTTGTCTCCTTGGCCAGAACAGGGCAATAAGTGTCTATCTTCCATATTCTTGAGCATGGCCTGTAAATGCAACCTGGTAGGTTGGGGGGAAAGAGAAAAGGAACGCCTGCCTCCGTTTTGAATGAGATCCTAGTCCTTCATCCCATTCATATGGTTTTACTGAACATGCGCCAAACAGAAATGAAATGAGTCTTTCAGAAATGGTTAAGCATTTTCTCAAACTTGAAATATTTTTCTGATTTCTTGATGAGGATAAAATTTAAAAACTTTCACATATATTAGGATAATCTCGGTGCTGCCTTTTACTGACCTAATTGAAATATGGCTGCTGAACTGGACCAGACTCCCCTTTTTGGTGGTTTGAAATAATAATTCAAGCCTATGGTTTGCCTTTTTCCAGGAAATATGTGTCAAAAGCCTCTCATAGTGGTAAAATCTGCATAGGAATCACTGGAAATTCACATGCTTCTTTCTAGGCTGTATCAACTGCTGATTTATTTGCTTACTTTTGTTAGGTAGAGCTCCCAAGTGAGACATTTTAAACCCTTTATATAGTAGAAACAGCAGACACAAGAAGCTGCATTGCTGGTAAGGAAGTCTGGACTGACTGATGGGATTCATATCTTGGAAAATAACAGATGAACTGGGATCTCTTCTCCCAGGTAGGTAAGTCTGCCTGGAGAACTGATGTTCTGTAAATTGTATCTATACCATATCTCAACCATGATGCTCCAGTTATGCTTCACTCTGCCCTCACACTGTCATGAATAGCAAAATCTAGAGAAGTTTTTTAGTGTTGTGTGTGGAGCACCACAGATTGCATTAAATTGAATGTGAATAAAAAATGGGGGTCAAACTCCCTTGAACTAATGAGTGGGTTGCAATTGTCTTCTTCCCATGCAACATTTGGAAATTTCCCTCCATCAAAGTCAAGGCTGCTTTTTTTTAAACCAATTTATAATAGATGAATCAAAAGTATCTCACCAGGTAAAGTCTGCAAGGCAATAAGCCTGGGAGCATGGAGGCACCAGAGCCAGGATAATTTTAACAAGTCTGTCTGGATCAAAGTCTAGGTTGAAAGCGTGGTGTTTTGTTTGTTTTTTTTTTTTTTTTTTTTTTTTCTCTGATGGAAAAAGCAAGCTCAGGTATTCACATGATCTACTTCATGTATCTAAACTAAAACCCAGAGGAGCAAAGATGGGAGCCTGTTTTGCCTATAGAACCACTGTTAAGCAGCAGGACTGTCAAGGAGGGACAGGAATGTTCAGTCTACCAGAGAAAGGTATCTTAAGTAGGAAGTTTGAACGTGCTGCGTCTGCATGCTGTAGAAAACTGTTTCCTATCAACCTAATTAGTGTGTGTGTGTGTATGAGAGCATCATATGCAGAAACACCTGCTCAGTCAATGAGGAGGTCAGAGCATAGCCGACAGCTGTCCAAAAAACACAGGGGAGCTTTACATCAACACTAGTGAAGGTGGTGTGTAAAGCTATGGAGGTTGTTTCTCAGGCTGAGGTGAATGTCCTAAGAACTTTCTGAAAAAGTCTGAGAGCAAAAGTAGCCGCAAATAACCAGTTCCCAGTAATGTGATGCCTTAAAGAGGAGTGGAGACAGCCTGATAGTAAAATTTGTTTATTTACACTGTTACATATTACAGGAAAATCAGTTTAAAAAGTCAATGCTTCTCTTTCTTCAAAGTTACAGCATTTTGAAGATGTTAAGACAGATCTGAAGAATTTTAAACGTACTTGATTCCAGCCTTCCTGGCTGGTCTGGATCTGCAAGGTGAGACCATCTTGGTTTTTTCTTTTTTTTTTTTTCCTTTTATTTATTGTTTTTTTTTTTTTTTTTTTTTTTTCCCCAGCCCTTTGAGTTTCAAGTAAGGCATTTATTTATTTCTTTTTGTTTTGAATGAGGTTTCAGCAAAACAAAAGACAATATCTGTGGGTTTGGTTGCCATAGTAAACTTTAACACTTAGCATGCTGACGCTGTCCACCTTGATAGTCAAACGCATGCTTTGCCATCAAAAGATTACGGACTCCACTCGGCCTAAAGTCCATACTGGGTGCGTGAACGTTTTGTTGCCTGCCTTAGACACATGGTTCAGCTAGTTCCTTGTGTGCTATCTTGTCAGGTCTTCTCATTCCCTCTGCCTTTAGCCCTGCTTCCAGTATCAAGCTGCCATCTGCAGAGCTCTGAAGCTCTCCCTTTACTTAGGACCATGTACAACACTTTTCAGTCAAACCTGCTAATTTCTTACAGCTTGTGAGTTTTACAGTATCAGCCAGAAAGATCTGCAAAGCAAAAGTTCTGGAAGGGCCAGTGGGAACTCGTATATGCACACAAAGTCTGGGCTTTGCGACTGTGGGGGGTTTTTTTGGTTGCTGCCTTCCCTCTTATCGAATGTTAAATAAAACAAAACACTGATTTTCACTGTGGCCAGCTTCATGAAGAGGGAGCAAATATGAATATGCACCAGTTAGATGTATGTCTGTGGTGGTGATGTAAAAGTGTTTGAATATTGCAGTTATTTTGGTTACCCAGTTCACGCTGATGTGGTTTAGCAGCCAGGCTGCTCAAAGGTACTGCCCGTGCTGCAGCATTTTGGAGGATTTCAGTTTTCTGCTGGAGCAGGAAGGTTTTGTCCACGTTGCAGCAGACCTGGAGCTGGCTGAAGACAAGTGGGATCCAATGGGACTTTCAAGCATCAATTCAAACTGAACACCGACCCGACACACCCTTCTCCCTGCCATTTTCTCCTCTTGCTTTTGCTGGACAAACCCATCTGCTCTTCCCCTGTCCTGTATCGTTTTCTCAGCCCCTTTCCTTCCCAAAGAACTGGTCCAGCCTCCCAGGCTGCTCCCAGCGAGGCCGGCTGCCCTGCGCCCGCACCGCTCCCTGGGACAAGCCCTGGGACTGCACCCGCAGGCTCCGAGCCCCCCGATGACAGATCTAGAGAAGACAACTGGCTGAGGAGGTGGGGAAGAGCTGGAGGAGCAGGATTTGGGACAGCTTCCTCTCCAGGTGGTCCCTCTGTGCTGGCTGTGCGTGTGGTTTTGTAGACTTAAGTAAAACCATATGTTCGGGTTAATGCCTAAGCTATAGTGACACTTTCATTTAGGATGGAATGTACTGCTCTGATCTGAGGAGGAGGTCCACGAAACACTGACTCTATTGTGTAAGCCTGATACTTAGTATAAATGATTCAGGCCTTACTAACACCTCTGCCCCTGAAGAGAAGCTAAAAGATTGATAAGGGGGGGAACATCCTGCCCCAGAAGTCGCCAGAGGCTGGATGGTTGCCTGAGAAGCATGAAGTCAGGGAAAATCAGCAGTAACTGGGAGAAAGATAAAGGCGGCGGGGGGAGACTGAGACCACCAACTCAATTTAAGACCAAGAAGTCACGTGTCGTCCCCACCCCCTCTTTGTGTTTGTGCAAAATAATTAAAAGACACTGAAACTTGAGATCGAGACGAGGCATGTTGTTAACCAATGAGGGACAGAGTGATAAGAAACTAACCACTGGTCATTACAGTAAATGTGTATTCATGTAGTTTGAAGTTTATAAATACGTTGAAGTTCTTTTGCCTGGTGTGCTAGCTTTGTGGCATTACCACCTAACAACCCTCTGTACAAACATGGAATAACATGCATACTGCACACTGAGTGCCAAACCCTGTTTGAGGGATAACAGTTCATCCCCTTCCTACCCTGGGACCCCACAGGGTGACAGGAGGGAGAGGACAGGGTCCCTTTACAGAACTACTTTGGTATGGGGTCTTGCTGGGCTGGGGCAACTCAAAATGCGTTTTTCTTGAGAGAATTTATACACACGAGTTTAGAAAAGACCAGAAATACTTCACTGTGAGAAAGGGAGAGGAAAAAAAAGGCTGTGACAAAATTTTAATAGATTTTTGATGTGGGCTAAATGAGAAAAGGGTGAGGGCAGATCCCCCAAGCTAACCTTGGGTATTCTTCATTGCTAGCCATTTAAGTGGGAAGTAAATGAAGCTGACTGAAGCAGAGAAGATGGTGACTGGCTATTGAGAGATGTTGGTACAGCTTCAGGCAGCGAATACCTCCTTGTTTTCCCTACAGAGGATTGTGCCTCAGTCCCATCTGTTTCTCCTGTCACACACCAGTCTGAATAAGGCCCACCTAGCATAGTAATTCTTGAAAAAATGTGCTTTGCTCACCGTTGAATTCACTTTTAAGATTTTCTGCATCTTCCAGTCTGTCAACATGTGGCATGTCCATTTGCTTCAAATTAGCAGTTTGTACAGGATTAACTTTGTGCATATTTACACTCAAAGGATTTAGCTCTAAGCTGTTGAGCTCCTATTTCTTTCAAAATCCATTTACTCATAACTCCTATTAATTTAGCGTATCTTGTTTTGCTCTGACTAGAGCTCAAAACCCAATATCATCATATGATATCTTGCATTCTAAGTACCATACTGGGCAGTCCCAGGTGCTACCAGTCCAGCTTGAAATGGCAAGCTCCTGCCAGCCTCCCTGGCATTTGAGTCAGGTTGCACATACATAAAGCAAGTGAGCACAGTGCACGCCTGTCTGCAAACTATGGGATGGTGCACCTGGGCTCTGCCCTCTCAAGTCCTTCTCCAGGGCTCCCCCAGGACCAAAGGGACGGCTGCACCTCGGTGATGTCCGCAGGAGGGACTGTGTTTTGGTGAACAGCTGGCAAGAAGCAGAGCAGGGATGTGGTGATGGAAAAGGTATGATTCTTGCTTTCCCTCCTCTCCCCTTCCTTCTCCTGACCTTGGCTGCAGTTTAGCTGAATGTGCTGGGTGCACTGCAAAGCCTTGCTTCGGGACTTCCCACATGCACCGAAAGTGCTCACTGCTTTAGTCTGAACAGAGTCCTAACCTTTTGAAGGCATTGATGGATTTATCCATCGAGTGCTTTATAAGGCGTTTTTGTGTCAGCATTAGAGATCAGGAAGGTTTTCTTTTTTCGTGTGAGAGAGATCTTGGCCTTCTTTGTTCCAGTGGTGATCTTTGACAGGACAAGTAGTTCTACTCGTTTTGTTAAAACCTAAATAGCAGTACATTAATAAGTGTCTGGTATAAGAACTGATAAATGTAATCAAATGGGTTTTTAGCTAAAGCTTGTAATTCAGTCTCTTTTCTTTTTTTTTTTTTTTTTTAGAAAAAAAATCATAGGAAATACGGTACTTATTGTGCTTTCTTATTGTTCAGGAATCCATTGGCAGCAGCAAAGTAGTCCTTATGGAAACCATTCTTGATCTCTGTTGTGACAGGGGTTTCATCTACAGTTGTTCTTGAAGGTGCTTTCCGGTATGTCTATAAAAGCAAAATCCAAAGTAAATACTTGGATTTATTTAGTGCCCCCCAAACACTACTTATGGTTAACTGTAAAATGGAACTGTCTGGTGCTTGATGATGCAGGTGTACATATTTGCTCCAGACTGCGTTAAGGTAACTGCATTATTTTTCACTGCTGTGGGTGATATTACCTTACTAGTATTACTGTAATACTTCTTGATGTCAAAAGAGATTTTAAACCTGTTTCACTAGAAGCTCTATATATGCAGGTAGGCTGGAGCAGTCCCTGATAAAAAAGGTTGAAATAAATAATGCAAAGACAGAGCTTCTTGTTTTCCAAGGAGGGAGGAAGACTCAAAGCTGCCCAACAAAATAAATTCGGACCTCCTAAGTCCTGAATGTGGTACCTGACTTGCTATATAAGTGTGGAAGAGCTGAACTGCAACGGGGAGGTCATTGTTACTGAATAACTGCCTCTTGCAGACATTACTGTATCTATCATTCTTAACTGACATATATATTTCAATACAAATGAATTTTAAGTACCGATGCTCATTCTACATGGGGGTTCACCAAGACTGCTCTCTAAAAAGTTCTGGTTTCCCCCTCCCCTTGTCAGAGAGCATTTGGAAGACCGCTTACCTTGATGTAGAAGTTTATGAAGAGAATGACCAGTGTGGCCATGTAGGAGGACTGGAACATCAGGCAGCCAAATGGGAATCCACATGGCTTCACAGCTGCGCTGAGTGTGTGCACAATAGTGAGCAAAAACTGGATCTGTGGAGGAAAAATCAAACAGGAGTATTTGCCAAGAAAGGGTCTGTGCTAGCTAAATCACATATAACAACATCATCTAGTCCTGCTTTTTGAAAGTTTTGAGTACTGTTGAAAACTATCCCTTTCTGAACCTGTGAATGTATTGTGAGGGTTAAGTTACAATGGCACTCTTATGAAATTCAAAAAACCCTAAGGGGTCAGGGATTTCTAAAGATATGAATTTATAGGCCTAGTTGGGAAAATGAAAGCTCATTTTTTTAATAAGTGTTGTTCTATCTTCCAGACCTTGTTGTGCCAAGTGCGGCGTTGTCTCTGTTACCAGACAGAAACTTGAGAAAATTTTGAAGACTCCAGGCAATAGCTTTAGAAGTCTGAACAGAAAATGGAAATCCCAGGTCCGAGGAGAAGTTCAGGTAGGCTGGCATTTGCATTAATGGAGTTCAGATGGGGACAAATGAAGCAAAAATGAGATGAAGAAGGAATTGCAGAAGGCTGTCTGTATTTAGGACTGTGAACCACAGCCCACGCTGGTGCCTCTGATTCTCTCCAGCCAGCTGAGAGTGCCCTCAATCCACCGCGCTGAGGCACATTTCAAACAGGGTTGCGTGTCTTAGCTCAGAAGCAGCATTTGCTAAACACACTTCTACACAGACATTTTTAAGCTCGCTGCAGACATCTGAACTCCTAAATAATATGAACAGGCCCTACGATAAAAAAAGTGAAAGGAACTTTATTTCATATATATCTTGATAGAAGCTTTTGATATAGCTCGGCTCTTTGGGTACAGCAACTGTTGCAAGTAAACTTTTAGAAGTCAGACAACTTCTATCTTGTCTAAGAATTTATTTACATCATTTTGCATTTTGTAGTTGTACCATGGTGTGGTGGGTTAACCTTGGTTGGCTGACGGGTGCCCACCCAGCTGCTCTCTTGCTTCCTTTCCTCACAGTAGAGGAGGGGGAGAAGATAAGATGACAAAACTCATGGGTTGAGATAAAGGTAGGGAAAGGTGATTGGTAAAACTTGCCAATTACCATGCTAGGAAAAACAGACTTGACTTCAGGAAGGTAAATTTATTGCCAATTAATAATGGAGAAGGACAGTGAGAAACAAAACTAAACTAAAACCACCTTCCCCTAAGCCTCAGTGTCTTTCCAGGCTCAACTTCACTTCTGACTCTTCTACTTCCTTCCCCCAGGTGGTGCAGGGGGATAGGGAAGGGGGGTTGTAGTCAGTTTATATTGCTTTGGCTCTGCCACTTTTTCCTTCTCATGCTCGTCATCTGCTCCAGCGTGGGTTCCCTCCCATGGGAGACAGTCCTGCACAAACTTCTCCAACACGGGTCCTTGCCATGGGCTGCAGTTCTTGAAGAACTGCTCTAGTGTGGGTCCTTTCTGTGGGTTGCAGTTCTTCAGGAATGGACTGCTCCCATGTGGGTCCCCCACAGGTCCTGCCAGAAAACCTGCTCCTGTGTGGACTCTTCTCCACAGGATGCAGTTCTTGCCAGGAGCTTGTTTCTTCATGGGGTCCTCCGTGGGCTGTAGCTTCCTTTGGGACATGTCCACCTCATGCAGCAGGGAGTCCTCCATGGGCTGCAGGGTGGCAACCTGCTTCACCATGGTGGTCTTCACAGGCTACAGGGAAATCTCTACCCCTCCTTCCCTTCTTCTGTTCTGACCTGAGTGTCTGCAGGGCTTGTTCTCTCACATATTCTCACTCCTCTCTCTCAGCTTCTGTGCAGCATTTTTTAACCCTTTATTAAATATGATATCACAGAGGGTGCTCCAGCTTTGCTGGTGGGCTCAGCTTTGGCCAGTGTTGGGTCCATCTTGGAGCTGGCTCTGTCAGACAGTTTTTATAATTTTTTAATCAGTCCATTTGCCATGATTAAGTAATGTCTGTTTTCTATGCAAAAGATAAAAAATAATGGAATTTTATAAATTGTAGAGTTTCTACTCTATTGTACAAAATATTTCTGAGAATCATTTCCTTTAAGTTATACAAGCTGTACTAGTGATTTATTCTGTATGTTATGCTCTGTTATATTTGAATTCTAACTGGCTTAATTCTGCAGATGGCAATGTTTGTCTATCATTAATTTTGGCCTCTTTGGCATTTTAAGGATTTCTTGTAGTTAAAAGAGTAAAATAGATACATACCAATTGTGCCTGAGTGAGGTATTTTTTCCACCAGAGATACTTGCGCATAGAAGGGATGACGGACAGTCCGTAATAGGAATACATAAGTACATGGATAAAGCTATTCAAAGTGGGTCCAAAGAAACCTATAAAAATTCACCAAGGAAAACATTTTCATACACCAACTGCTAAAAAGTGAGAGAAGATATTATTTCTAGTGATGTCTCTTGCATAGGGTAAGTCTTTCCTTTGTGCTTATCTTTTGTTAAAGACATTTCTGATGTGAAGAGGTGCTGTCCTAAGGACAACTGACAAACTGAATGATACTTCCTATATGTTTTTCTCATGCTTAATATTGTATTTTCATCCCATATTTTTAATTTTCTCCACTTTTCTATTCTGTAGTTTACAGTTTTTTGGGTTTGTTCCCCTCCCAAATATTAATTGCATGTGTCTCCATTATTGCTGTAAGCTTTAGATGCTGCTGTGAGTGACTGTGCTGCTGGAACCACAGCTTTAGGACTCTGGGAGGCACCCATTCTCCTGCTCCCTGATGCAGTAGTAAGGGTTTTACTCTGAATTAAACTAGCCTTGTGTGTCTGTGTTTGAGAATTGCTCTCATTTTCTTTAGTGGGTCTTCCTCTAGATGCAAATTTCGAAGATTTCACCCCAGATAATGCCTTGCCACACTAACTAGCTACACTTAGTAAGTACTAGTTCTAGAGCAAATGAATTGCCCTCTGTATCTCACAGACTATTGGGAAGTAGCAGTACTACTCTATCTGCTGCGTGCTCATATGTCTCATGGCAGTACTTGACAACTACAAGGTGGTCTCACCAATTGTTTTGATTTTTCCACTGATTAATTACTTAATAATTACTGATTAATTATCTAGCTACTGATTTTTCCACTCTGTTAATTTCAGTAGTTCAAAGATAGTGCGAAGCGTGGGGAGTATGTTCAGACACAATAGAAAGCACAAACCCCTGATGATTTGTTTGCACATCTGTAGAAATAGCTTGTAATTGCTATAAAGTCCTTGATCTCTGCTTCTACCTATAGCAGTGATTTGCTTTGATTTTGTGCTCTCCATAGTAATTGCCAAAAGATGTGGATTCTGCTTTTTGTTCTGAAAAGCACCTGCAACAAGTTGCTTTACAAAATATTACAGTGGACTAAGGTGACTCCCTTTAACACCTGAAAAAAACCTGGTTGTCTTCTCAACTCTGCTAACAATGGCACAGGAAGCCTCTGGCTGTATGAAGCCCTGGGAAAGTGTGCATGTTGTGGGACACCTGAAGTAGTTCTCTGCTGTTTTGGATTTAGTGTACAAATGCCAATTACAATGTCCTCCTAAGAGCCAAGTCATTTAGACAGTATTGTTGCAAAATATATTGAACCCAAAATATAATAAGGCAAAGGATGCTGCTACTTCTGCTATTTTGATATGAAATGTAAGACTGCATCGATCAGTTCTGGCTCTCCAGTAGTTCTACTGTCTGAGTGAGATGTATTCTCATTTAAAACAAAACAAACTCACACTAGTATTTTAATGAGTGATTTTGTAAGTAAAGTATCTTGCCTAAAGCAGAATGTCAGTTTGATGCATACAGGAGTAAAACTTGTGAAAATGCTGTTGAGTTCATTTGTCATGATTGACACTGACTGAGGTCATGGTTTCTTTCTACCTCTGCTTTTGGAGTAGGTCTTGTATGTGACCACTCTTGTGTACTACTCAGTAGTGTTATCCTGGCTAAAAGTGGTTTGAAGAGAAGTAAATATGAGAGGTTGGGGCAGCTAAGTGGAAAATCTAGGGCCTAATGCTCAGATATTTTTTTTTTGCCCTGCACTTTTAACCACGCTTTTAACTTTACTGCCGTCTGCAGGTGATCAGCCTTTCCGAAAGGCTATGAACCTTGAAGGTGCTGTGGTATAGCACAGTGACACACTTGCTTTGCATAGTGACGTGATTCCCCTCCAGCAGCGGGTGACTTATACCCCAGGTGACGAAGTGAACAGAGACTTACTTTGCCCACAAGGTATCCAGTTCAGAACACACCACCAAATGTTAAACATAGTCGCATGGTGATACACATGAAGGAAGGTGATCTGGCTGCTTTTCTTTCTCAGTACAAAGAAGATAGTGTCCATGAATTCAATTACTTTGGAAAAATAATACCACCACAGCACCTTGGCTACCTGTACAAGCAAGAACAAAGGAGCAGAAGATCAATATCTGTCCATAATAGGCCTTAAATATTGCTGTACTTCATCAGTCCCTAGGCATGCAACTTTCCAAAAGGCATTAATATTCTATTAAAGGAGCAGCACAAGCTCTAGCTTCAATTTTATTTCCTTTTTGAATGAGGCAGTTTAGAAAAAATGCATCATTTTTAATGTGATTATATAAATATATACTTATCTAGATATAATTTAGTAAATATAAACTTTGAGGAAAGGTTTCTAATTGTTCTGTTGTCTCTCCAAAGATAGTTGAGTGTGTTTGTTTTTATTTGTTTGTTTTAAGGGTGTTATCATTTATACTTTCTTGGCACTGAACAGATTTTGCTGTCAGCTTCTTTTTAAACAATCCAAATTTGACACTCAGTGCAATGGAATATACCCTGCTCTAGAGTTGAGACACTTTATGAGAGCTCAGAATATGTCCTAGGACAATTAAAGACTTTTAGAAAGGGAGAAAACACCTGGTTGATGGGAAAAGGTATTTAACTGACCTTTTCCTTGCCATAACACAAACAAATTTTGAGGGTTGGGGAAAATTATATAAGTTAACCAATCTTTCTGCCCTTGAGATCTAACATTATCTGAAAAGTAAGCCTGGCATAGGGAGTGGCAGAGGGCTAATATATGGAATTGTTGTGATGAAGAAATAAGGGTTGAAACTAGAGGTGAGTCAAGCCAGCAAAATGTCTCTGCAGTTTTCCAGAGTTTAGAGCTGGGCTTAGATCCATTGCCAGCTACAGCCCAATGAGTGCTACGTTTTAGATGACTGATTTTTGTTCCAAGTTTTTTAAATGATCCATACTGTCTGCTTTAATAGTGAGGCAACACTGTTCTGACCACACATCTTGATATATGGCTTTTCAAAATAGCCCCTGTCGTACTTTCCCCTGCGAGAGTGCATCTGTATCGAATCAAAAAGATAACACTTCTTGTTTTCTACCAGGTGTTAGGCAACCCGATTAACCCCCTCGTGTTAAAGATGTCACCGATAACATCCTTGTAACTGCCGTGAAGGCAGAAGCGTTGCGCCAGGGTGGCGGAGGGAAGGGCTGCCGCGGGTGCTGGGGGCTGAGCTGCTGCCGTCTCTCACCCGTGTGTCGGCCTCCCCTGCGCTGTGGAGGTTCTGGCACTGCAAGTTGTAGCCTCCTTCCCACGTGGCAAGGACGAGCTGGAACGGAAAACACAGCAAGTGTGTTCATGAACGGATGTAGCAATTTTTACCCCTGCAGTTGCTCTGTGTTTGTTGAAATAAGCAGCACGGAAGTACGGCGCGTTCCCACTCCTTCCGTGAGCCGATGCTCTGAAACCAGACAACTTGCTAACATCTTCTGCTTCGAAATGGGAAAGGCATCAGTCAGGTTGTGTTGCGGGTATACACTGAAATTCTGTATCTTTTAAATTTCTCTGGCTTTAGAGCCTTCAAGGCATCCATTAAAATCTCTTGTTACTTAATGCTCACTCCAGAACTCATGCCTGAATATTGTATCTCCGTCCTGAAGCAGTACAAACAGAGTTTAACCCAGCTGCTTGTGCAAAAGTGTCCTTGAGAAAAGTTCCCCGATGCCAAGCAAGCAAACAGAAGGCAAACCCAAAGTAGTGCAATGGGAGAAATATTTCCTAATGCCATACACAGGTCTCTTTACGCTACATTGTTAAATGCAGGAGGAAATAGAGGAGAGCGGGCATAGTGCTGAATGGAGATGTGAATAGACACACAAGCAGATTCTTAGATTTAGTGCATGTCACGCTGGGAAGCAGACAAAGCAATGAAATGTCAGGCTACCACCCTGTGATGGAGTAGAAGATTTTCTAGAAAGCCATATGGTGGCTTCTGATATGGAATATTTTTCTAGTAATGACCACCTAAACCATGCAGCAGCCCATTGGGAGTAGGGAGCATAATCTGTTGACTATAAATGCTATATAGAGTCCATTGATTTTTAAAAAGTCTTGCTTTATTCTTAAATGTGTGAGAAGTGGGTTTTGGGGACAAACTGAGCAATTCATGTTCTAGGGCCAGTTTTCTTCTCTACAAAGAATGCAGTGAGTGATGGTGAGAGAAATACATCCAAGTGTTATGCTGTGAGCAGAATTGCAAGATGCTCTGAGAAGTGGGTTGCTTTCAACTCAGGCATTACATTCACAGGGAAAGTGTGTATCAGCATCTGTACAGACTTTTCCCTCCTCTTCAGGCTGAAAAGTAGTCTCCTGTGTTGAATGTGTGACAGTCTATACAAAAGCAAAGCAGAGATATTCTCAGTGATCAAATGGAATTAATTCCTAGAGGAAATATATAAGAAAAGAAAATTATTGACAATATTGTCTGGAGAATTAACAGATAGCCCAGAATGCTTATTATAAATTCACATTAAAAAGCAATAAAACTTGGAGGGCCACAGCCTTCTATTATTTTTCATCTGAATTGCAAGTCCGTGATTGTACCTGTAATTCTAACACAGCTGGTGTATGTGGCCAAAATAGAGATTGCAGAGAGAGATTAAAAGACAATAAATCAGTTGGTTTTTTTTTTTTTCAGAAAACTACTATATAACAACTCAATCCTTTTTGGAACAGACTGTATTTTGGTGGATTCACCTACGGTGTGTGCCAGAGGGTCACCAAAACATCCTGTTATTAGTTGAGTTTTCATATTTTGCTGTTGCTCTAATGTTCTTAACTGTAATGTTCTTAACAGACTCCAGTTGTTACGCCAACAAATGACCTTTACTCATCTGCTTCAGTATAAACAGCACAAGGATTCGCAACATTTGCTTCTGTGCAGCCATCTAACTCTTGACCTTTTTTTTTTTTTTTGAATGGGAAATCTCATTGATCAGAAATAAGAGCTGGCTCCTCCATAAGAAAACTCATAGAAATCTCATCAAAGTGGGGCCAGCATGTGCGAGAAGATAGTGCCAAAACCTCTCATCTTGCTGAGTAGCAGCCTAAGCACCAGTAGCCCGGACCCAGAGGCCTGCGCCCTGCTCATTCAAGTTTTCAGCCTCAAAAATCTCACAGCTGTAGCTTGTTCCTGCATCTGTCCTCAATGGGTAGGCTAGAAAGGAAAGCAATGTGGTTTTCTGAATGGATATTCCTATTTCTACTGACTGCAGTTTCTCTGTTCAGTCTGAGTTGTAGAAAAAGCTTTGTGTGTGTTGGGCTTTCTCAGAGAGAAAAATGCCTGGAAGCAACAAGGTGTTTCCCCTTGTCCCAGAGCAGGAGAGACAAAGGGTGAGGTACCAGCACCTCGCCACACCTGGCTGGCAACCAGTCACCAGTGGTGTTCCTCAGGGCTTGATTCTAGAGCCAGTGCTGTTCAATATATCTATCAACTATCAGGAGGCAGGAGCTGAATGCACCATTAGCTGGTTTGCTGATGATACCAAACTGGGAGGTGCTGTTGATTCTCTTGCAGGACAGGAGGCCTTGCAGAGGGATCTAGATAGATTGGAGCATTGGGCTGTGAATAATCGGATGAAATTTAACAAGGTGAAATGCTGGATTGTGCACCTGTGATGGAGCAATGCAGGGCACAAGTACAGGCTGGGGGAGGAGCGGCTGGAGAGCAGCCCTGCAGAAAGGGGTCTGGGGGTGCTGGCTGGCAGCAGGCTCGGTGTGTGCCCTGGCAGCCAAGGGGGCAAACCCCACCCTGGGGTGCATCAGACACACATAACCAGCCGGGCAAAAGAGGGGGTTATCCTGCTGTGTTCAGCGTTGGCGCGGCCTCACCTGGAGTGCTGTGTGTGGTTCTGGGCCCCACCACTTAAGAAGGACGTGAAGGTCCTTGAATGCGTCCAGAGGAGGGAACAAAGCTGGTGACAGGGCTGGGAGGAATGTCCTGTGAGGAGTGGCTGAGGAATTTGGGCTTGTCTAGTTTGGAGAAAAGGAGTCTGGGGGGCGACCTCGTTGCTCCCTGCAGCTCCATGAGGAGGGGACGTGGAGAGGGAGGTGCTGAGCTCTTCTCCCTGGGATCCAGTGGTAGGGCACGTGGGAACGGTTCAGAGCTGCGCCAGGGGCGGTTTAGACCGGACATTAGGAAGCATTTCTTTACTGAGAGGATGGTCAAACCCTGGAACAGGCTTCCTAGAGAGGTGGTCGATGCCCCAAGCCTGTCAGTGTTTAAGAGGCATTTGGACAATGCCAGTAACAATGTGCTTTAACTTGGTCAGCCCTGAATTGGTCAGGCAGTTGGACAGCCAGGAAGTCAGCAGCTGAATCGTCGTAGTCTATCACACCTGAAATAGTCTATCCAATATATTGTCTGTCTATCCAGAAACAGTTCAGAAGGGGAAGCCAAAAACTAGTAATGGAATTAATATTCAAATAACTGAAATTCCTCTCAAAAGTTGAGTGAAAGGATGAGCACTAGTGTCCTTCTTGTGGGAAAAAATGGAGCAAGGACCTTTTTGACATTATTTTGTGTATCATATTTTGCTGGGTTTTCTCTGGGACTTCGGCCCTCAGGCCAGTTGAAACAACTTAATCTGACCTCTGTTCCCAAGCAATGCAATTCTCACTAAACTAAGGAAGGAGACTAATCTCTCTATGTAGTGGAAAGAAGGGTCTAACTTGCAGTGCTGTGAATCACCTATTTCCCTTGGCCATAGGAGGAGACTGTTGTTAGTCCTTGTGAATGGCAACTCCTCCCTGGATCTATAGACTTGGACAAAACAATCCTAAAAGCAGTTATCCCAAAGAAAAGCAGTCCAATTAAACACTCAGGACAGTGTATCAGGAAGGAGAGAGGAATGACTTTGTTTTCTTTACATTTATAATTTTAACTAAACTTTAGAACGAAATGACTCAGAAGATTATCAGTGTCTAAAAAATAGAGGCCAGATATTCATCATTTCTCCTGACTTCCCCTCTTTAGTTTTTAAAGGGAGAAATCAGCTCCTTGACTGTAACATGGCTCAGTTCCACAAGTATGCAACATCTGAATTGTCTTTCTAATCCCCAGAGGCTGGGGTGAAGGCATGCTACAATGCCTTTGCAATTCTACATAAGTAGATGAATAGAGGAAGGTACCATTAATCGTCCTTGATTTATCATCAACTCAGTTGTAAACAATACCTAGAAAGCTTTCAGGCAGGTTTTCTGGATAGGACATTCAATTGTAAAATCATCTGTGAATAGTATTTTTTGAAGAATCTCTCTCTATATATGTTGCCTATTTTTAGACGAGCCTCCAAGAATTGTGGTATAATCCCAGATTTTAGACAAATAGCTGAGATGCAGAACAGCCTGTGTTTCCAGATTGCTGCTTTTGTGTCTTGAAGATCTCAAATAAACTGTAGTCTGGCAAGACCATAAACCCCACAGGGAAGCAGATTGGGCTAGACTGTTCAACCCCGGACGGGGGGATTCCAAGAGCCTGGTTCCAGCCCTGCCACTTGGTCAGTGCTTCGGTTTCCCCAACTGTAACAACTTAGTAGTGGTGTTGTGCCAAACAACAAACAAGGTGCTGAATAGGAAATACGCCACAAGATTCTTCACAATTAAAATATTTTGTTGTCCCTCTTTATGATGCAGTCGAGATATTTTTCATGGGGACAGAAATGTAATGAACATGCTTTGGGCTAGTACTTGGTGAGTCTCTCCATCTCTCCATGAGTCTACTTAGAGGTCCAATAATTGCATGCATGATGTTCCCCCCAAAAGATTGGCTAATTCTGTAATATATAGCCTGCGGTTTGCTATCCTGACCTACAGTATGTACAGCTGAACTTCATGTTGGATTTCTCATTCTTGCAGAAGCATCATAACTAGGAGGATACTGGTTATTCCAGCGTGGAGGAAGTAAGTGGTCCCATGCTTTCTTCTTATTTTGAAGTCAGAAAGTTCATATCACAGTGACAAAAATAAGAGACTGTTCCCAAATGAAGCTTTGATAAATGTCTGAATTTTTTTTTAATCAACAAAAATTCTTTCAAATGTAAAGCCACGTTGTTGAGAAACTTCTAGCCAGTTCCATTTAATACCCCTAAATAAATGGGAGACTGCTAGAAGGATTAGTGAAGTAATGACTCCAAAATTATTTTAATTTAGTTATGAATGATAATTCCTTTGTGTGTTGCTGTTGTCTGGGGTGGTGGAATAAGCTAAAAGAAAGACCTTCTTAGCCTTATTTTCCATGAATCTTTCATTACACCTCCTATTCTGAATAGC